ACAGAAACAAGATCCTTACACATGCACACAAAATATATGCATGACTATGCACCAGCCGGAAATTTAATTGATATTCATTTTTCTCAATTATCAATTTTTCATCAAAACATAAATATCTCGCAATTCACTAAATATACACATTCGGTCACAGGGATATATATAGTCGTCAGTAAATGAACATTATAATGAACTGACTGAAAATTGAATTCTCATCGGAATGCATTTTATGACGCTTTTCAGTGCCAATAATATTTTTTAGGACATTCTCGATGGAAGAGGAAGTTATGATGCTATTAGCAGTTTGGATTTCTTTTTTGTCCTAATTTATTTTTAAATTATTGTCGAATGAGCTTGCCATTGACAGGTCAGTGCTGATGCTGGTGTAAATTATGCGAGGAATTGCTATGATAGAAGTTATAACTACAACTCGATGATTTTTTTTAATTTTCTAATATTGTTCCTAATGTTGAATTTAAATCTTTTAAGACTTAATTCTCAAATGCGCTTCAGGTTCCAATGAATTAAAAAATATTAAATTCCCAACTTTTAAGTTTTTAGTCATCTGAATTTTTATATTTATTATGTATTTAAATCTGTGTCGATTTTATCGGAAACACAAATTTTTGTGGCATTTTTTATGTGTTTTAATTGATTCGCTTGTTTACATTACCAAATGTTTTTGGGGGTTGAAAAAAAAAAGGTTTTAAGCTTCGAGTTTTTAAATTGATACATTTTTCACAATTTTTGATTTTATTTGCGAAGCAAAAACAAAAATTGGTGATGAAAATGGTTTGTTAATAGTTTATACAGCACTTTTAAATGCTATAGATTTTGATTCAATTCGAATTTAACGGAATGGATAAATGAAGTATCATGAATAGAGTTGAATTGTAATTTAGATTTTTTTGTTTGTCTTTGTCAGGGATGTTAATTCAAAATATTAATTTCTGCCCCATTTTCGATTCTAGAGTAAGGGAAGTACCAACTCGCCCGAGTTTTTAATTTGTAGAACTTTCCTAGAGCATTTCTAGCTACTCACGATCTTTTCAATAAGCATAACTCTCAAACTTGAGACTCACTGTATCAAATCAAAATTCTTGCAAACCTGGCTCGTAGAACATTTAAATTCATTTTCCCAAAGATTCCCAAACTTTTCTGAGAGCTTTTTCGTTCGAAAGCTTTTCTCGTGGAAAGTGCTGGAGCTTTTTTGCTTTTGAAAATTGTTGGAAAATTATTAACGATTTTTTCATTTCAAACTTTCAATTTTGAATAATGAAACATTTTTAATCTGAAACCTTAAACTTACAAAATTTAAAAATCTTTAATTTCAATAAAAAAATTCATACAATTTTAATAAAAGTTTTCTATGAATTCGGATCAAGAAAAATTCCATGAAGCTATCACAATCAACGTATTTAATTCTTATCAGGGCTCTTCCGAATATTAGCACTAATTTCAAAAATATTAGCCCATGCTCAAAAATTATTGATAATATTAAAGCAATCATTCAAATTTATTAATCTTGAATCGAATTTTGAGCCTTTATTGTACTACACTCCCCCATAAATTGGTAGATTTTACGTAAGTTTTGATGTTTTACGCATTGGCATGTCTATGACAAACGTGTGAGTCACTGTTTTTAGATATTTCAATGGGATACAGTCATGATGAAGCATAGATAAAAATGATATACGTAAATTGGACTTACTAAGAAGCATGAAAAGTCATAAAATGCATTCAAAATCGTCGATTTACATCCTGTAGCATTAAAAGGAAGAAATCAATTCGAAACTTTCAATGTTAATTAATTTTGAATGTTCTTTGTAGCATATGAACTTTGTGCTTTATTAAAAATCTCAGCTAACAATAGAAGATAGAATGAACTAGGCTATGGATTGATGTGCAGTTCAAATAAGAATTTTTTGATAAAGCAGTTATGAAGTAAACAAGAAATGACAATTAATGAAAATTCTTAGTGATTCTGGTGGATATTTTCCATCCATCAATAAGAAATTCATCCCAATAACTATCAACAATAATCGTCAGTTTAATCACCAGACAGAACTCAAAATATTCAAATGCGTATCAACTTAGTTCCGCGCATTGTAATATAAGATCATTAAATTTCTTAATTCAATCAACAAACTCATTAGCAAAAAGCTCAACCTGATGTTTGTCGAATGACTCTTTTTATAAAAAATTGGTTTCACTTTCATTTGAATATTTTTATATTTCTAGGAAAAAGGAAAGGTGAATGAAATATATGAATAGTCGATTATGACTTGTAGCTTCTAATTACCATAGCAGCATTAGAACATGTTCATTGTTGTAACAAAACTTTTTTCTTTTGTGGTTTTTTTTGCAAAATTTTTGGAAACTATTTTCGTCATTCAGCAAAATATCCACAAATATTTTGTATTGTAGACTGCAATACCTTTAACCGGTGACCTTTTTATCATTTCTTTCAATTCTTCAATCATCAAACATTAGGAATTTTTCAATATTTCACAATAACGTCATTCATGTGTGACAAAATATTATCACAGGATATGACATTCGATACAGCCCTTCCTAGTATAATTTAGCTCAATCAAATTTTGAACAATGACGACATGATTCAAGGCGTGGAAATTCAGGATTAATCGGGATTTAAAAGGGATTTCACATTTTCATGTTTATTGGGTCGAAGATTTTTTAGGATTTTTGATATTTTTAAGGATTAATCTTGAGTTTCCACGCCTTGACATGATTTTTATGACGACATCAGCCCTCTTTTTCATCATTTATTCGTTGTCAGACATTTAAATGAAAACTCAGCCTTATTATATTTTTTGATTCATTTTCTCTTGTCCATTCTGTCTTCTGATTATTCCTTATTAATTATTTATCAAGGTACATCTGCATTCTTTTCACTTTTCTTCTTTTCTCATTTGCATTTATTTATTTATGCTGACTGTCTTGAAAATCAAAATTCTGATGACCTGAAGTCATTTTGTAATTATAAAGTTGTTCCGATCTGCAAATGTATTTAAAAGAATCGCGCAGGGAGAATTCAAATGGTTTTAAGCTACTTTTTAAACTGACTATGACCGAGCATAAGAAACATTCCATTTGAAAGCTACACTGAGAACAAGGATTCGGAACTGAAAAATTACATTTTGAAAATTTTTGATCATTTTTGATCATTTCGTCAGTATTACACCTTTGATTCGGAGGATGTATATAAGAACGCACCCGAATGACACAAGTGGGTTAATCGATCAGAATTTCGGCACCAAGCTGGTGTGATTCTGGCATGGAACTGGATTTAAATCGAAGCTTGCACGATGCTAGAGTCATGCTGACTGGATGCCGCATTTCTATTTGATTAACCGGCTTGTGCTATTAGGGGCAAAAGATCACATTTAATCAATCTGTAATCCACCGAATTAGCAACATCTTGTTAGAACTTAGTAAAGCATCATTTACTAGGAAAGGCTTTGCAGAGCAAACAAATTAAATATTTTGAAGCAAGAACACAGATTTGGATTGAAAATGTTCGCAAAAACCATGCACATCTTAGTTGATTAAAAGAACTTCATCAATTTGTTGAAATTTAAAAATAAAAATTGAACCTTCTTTAGAATATGATCTGCAACAATAAGGTTTTAAGTCAACAAAAAGAAAGCATTTCAAAGATTCATTCTTTCAGGTCATTTAAACATAATCAGCCATTGGAAGAATTCTTGAATTTTAACTTCAGAAATGTTAAAATTATGGAATAAACTTTATCAAAAAATGGCACAACATAATTTATAATAATTTAAAAATATCTTTTTTTGGTACATATTAGCTTGTTCTTATTCGCCCTAAAGGCAATGACTTTTCACTTTATGTAGAACAATCTTGTTTTTACATCGACTTTATAAAACTTTCAAATCAAGTATTTTTATTTATTATTATTTATATGTCGACGTTACCGTCCGGAAGAATTAGTATTTATACATTTTTTACTTTTTACATTGATTAGTGATACATTTTATATCACTATGGGTGACGTAGAATCAAGCTTCTAATCTTCAAATCTAGGTTTCAAATAAACTAAGGCTCTCGTTTCAATCTTCTGTGGGCGTGACGTGATACATTTCAGGTCCGTTCTGACAATATTCCATTATAAGGTAATCTTGTAGCTCTCGTTCCTATTTCTCCCGCTACACTTCAAGTTCCTGATCCGTTCCTTAATCCAACGATGCCCAAAATGCCCAATTATGGCTTGATCTCGTACATTAAGCAGTCGAAGTATCTAAACTTCTGAAAAAGAACAAATTTGGAAATGGCTGGATTCGAACAGACGACCTTCGTGTTACCATACCAAATTTGAGCCAAGCGCCTTACCTATTCGACCAGCAAGGCACTTAACTGTTTAAGCTGACTAAAACGAATATTGTCTTAAAAATTTGACTTTTTTCAATACCATCAATATCCTCAAGAGTAATGCACTTCCCGGTCATAACAGCAAACAAATCAGAAAAAATATAAAAAGTAAAAAATTCAAATGTCAATATTGACATTTTATTAAAACAAAGTGTAACTTCATTAAAAAAATTTATTATGCGATGCATTAATTAGCTATTTTTATAATCTGCTATTCTTTTATTAATTAATCAATAAGTAGACTCGAGTGATTTTATGATGGACAAAAGTCATTATCATATGTTGCCTTATTAAAAATCTCTTTGTAGTGCGAAAAGTTGTTAATGACGTCGTGGTTATCGTCACTATCAGTAGGAGTAGAAAAAAATCTTCCATTTTCCTTAAATGAAGCATAAATGTGTTTGTTGGATGACTGAATTAATGTGAAAAATTGAAAAACACAAAGAAATCAAAGAGCAGAGCCTTATTAAACATTATCACCACAGTGGCGCATCTTCACAACGTTGCGGGAAAAGCATGGATAGAGAGTAGCAACAGGTATAAAAGCAACATGATCGTAATGCTCATCGGTTAGTGTTGAAACATTTGTCGTGCGAACAAGTCGGAAATTAAAAATATTTTCATGACAGTGAAATAAAATTGTGAAATATTTTTTAAGTTTTTTTATCACAGATTGTTAATTAAATTCATTCCAAAAATTAGACAAATTAAATTTTACATTCCTGAAAAAAAAATATTGAATTGAATTATCGACGTCCACCAATTGTCAATTTAAAATATTGTAACATTATTAAAATTTACACATAACTGCAGATAATATATAAATTGTGAAACATGATACATCTAGTGAGGTTCTATACGTGTCTAATGATTGTATTTAGTGTGGCTAAATTTATCGACGGTGAGCAGAAAATTTACTTTTATCAAAAAAACTTTTTACAATGTCAATTCATGAGAAGGATCGAGTTTCATTAAATTGAATTTCTTCGAATTCTTTTCCTGCATTTTTTTCTGGGTGTGATTTTTTAGTATTTTGAAGGATGTTAAATTCTTTGATTTTAGTGGAAAAATGAAAAAACAATTTTCCTTTAATTTTGTGAATTTTTGGGAGAGATTTTCTTAAATTTTAATTTGAAAATCTAAAATTAATCATATTTGTAGGTTAAAAAAGTTTGATTTGTTGAATTTCTTGAAGAAATTCCAGGAAATCCATTATTCTTTTTTGAAAAATGACCGTTAATTTCTGACGTCATAAATGAACTAATATTCAGTCATATTATGATCAAAAATTTAAGGTTTTAATTAAAGCTCGAAGTTGACTCGAGATTTTTACCGATTTCGTATGGTGGAGTTGACTTCGAATCGACTTGAGTACATACAAAATATTATCGACTTCGAGCTCTGGTTTTAATCAAAAAAGTTATCAAATGATCTATATTGCAAGATAAAGTTGGTTTGAACAGTTGTAAGTTGCACCTTAGCTTCTCAATTCAATTCAGTCACAAGAAAAAAGATTTCCAAACTTGTTTTGATTGAAGTTTTTTAAATTTTCAAAATATACAATTCTTAAATCTAATTACTAAACTCTAAACAAGCCAGCATTCAAACCAATTCACTCCTTCCACAAACTATTCAATATTCATTGACTGATTGATATTTAATGGTTTGTCTAAATCCCTTTCTCATGTAAACATTAAGTTTATTTTATCAAAAAAACTAAATCCATATCATTTTCATATCACATTTATTACCGTTTAACAGAGTGTAAATATGAACAACAATGAGCGGTACTTTTGTGTTTGTTGTTTTATTTTTGGCGACCTTCTGAATAAAACTGTTGATACGATTAGAATGAAACATTTTTTGAGGATTACGTTAATGAAATTTTAATTTGGGTATCCTTTTCATCCTGAGTAATCTAACATTAAATATTAAATCCTTTAAGCTTGACGACCAAAATTAAATTATTACAAGACAGAGAGTCAAATTACACCAAGCATGATCTCTGACCCTTCAATTCAGTTACTATAGTCTAACTTCCTTTTTAAAGATACGATATAACTTCGGGTCAATTGGTCAAATTTCTCAACGTTATCTATTTCACATTGAAATATCATTAACAATTATTCAATCTTGTTGAAACTTTTTTTATCAACTTCATTTTGACAAGATTCTGTTTTCGGATATAAAAAAGACCGCAGGTATTTGTTGACAAAAAAAATGAGTCTTGCATACAGTTCGTAAAGTAATTTTGTTGATTGAAGAACTTCGAAAATAAATTTTACAAAAATTAAATTGTTGTATTGGACAGTTTTGGTAAAGATGGAGTTTTAAACTTAAGTATTTTGGATTGATGATCAGAAATTTCGAATGTTTCATCTACTCAAGCTCAGGATTAGTTGTCTTTTAACTCACCCAATCATCAAGTTAAAAGTTTCAACGATAATTCTTCAAAAATCAAATGAAATTCAACCCAACTTATTGAAATTTTTGAAACTTATTGAAACTTATTGAAATATTGAAAGCAATTTACAATATTCACAAAATCTTCCTTATCTTTGAAATAGATTTATAAATCTCAATATTCTAATGAAAATCCACAAATTCCAAGTCAGCAAAATCTTCTTCAAAATCCATGAATGAAAAAATTTCCACTTTTCATTAACTCAAGTCAATTACTTTTCATATTATTCTATAGAACATGTTCCTTAGTATCACAATAGAGTAGTAATTCATATATGCTTCTATGATGCAGCATCAGAGCTTCTTAAAATCACTTAGCTTTCATGATATTACGGCAGTTTTAATGTAATGCTGTTTCAAAAGCACGCTAAATAACAAAGAAGTACTCTACTTGCTTATGTTATTTGTGTTTTTTTTTAATTTTCTAAATTAATGCAATTTTTAAAATTACATTTCATCATCATAATGTATGAGAAGCTTGCTTTTAGTCTTGGCCTATGGTACGCCAACGAGTCCTTATTTTTGATATTGATTTTTTTTTGTACCTTATTTTCGAGCATGAGTTCAAATTTTTTTTTCACGTTAAATTATTAATGTCTAATCTCTTTAATTAATGGTTTACATATTTGTTTTTCATCATCAAAATGCTAAAAGAATCCACTCAACTGTAATGAATCATTACTGATTTGATAAACAATTAATGCAAGTGAATTAATGACATTTTAATTTTCAATGTAAACAACAACAAAATTTTTTGAATATTTTTGAAAAAAATCATATCAAACTAATGTTTCCTGCATTTATCATCGATTAAACGATTAAATGAGTGTTGATTAACATAGTAGAAGGATTCGATTCCTAAATAATAAGTGAATTAAATCAAAAATTGCGAAAAGTTAAAATTTTCATAAAAAATATGATTTTCGAAATTGCGAAATTTTGTTCGAAAAACCAGACTACCGCCATTTCGTTTCGGACTTCTTCGAAATTAGTTTCGATTTCTTCGATATTAGAGCCGAAAATTCAAATTTCAAAAACCAGTTACATTATGTAAACAATAAATTATTTTAATTAATACCAATTCTGCACAAATCCCAAAGTCCTTCATAAATTATTAATTTTATATTTTTTTTATCTATTCTCAACTTTATTAACAATAAAATTTGAGCATAATGAGTAAGTGCATGTTAAAATCTGGTTTAACCGTCAAAAATTTTTGAATATTATAACGGTCATAAAAATATTGAATTTTTTTGAATACAAATTTAACGGATGTTATATGAAATGACGGTAGTCTGCGAAAAACATTCGAAACAAGTTTAAACTTATTTTGCTCCAACGTTGACATCGTCTCTTGGCATATCATAGGTCTTGGCATGAGCTTTAAAAAAAAGAAGAAAATTGTGTTTTTTGCATTTAAGAATCTTTTATTTTTGACTACGTAAACGTGCCTTGAATTATTATAAAATAGACAATTTAAAGGCTCAAAATAACCAAAAAGCCTTATTAAATTTTTTGACATTTCTTCAGCTTATTTCCACAATTAAAACACAATATTTAAATTTTTTGGCACTTATTCAACTTCCCACTTTTTAAAAAAATTCAATTGAAAATCAAAATGTTAAGCGGTTTGTCGATAAAAGCCAAAAGACAATGAATGGAAATGCCATTATGTGTACAAAAAGTATCACTCGTGCCTCTTTCATGTACGAAGCCTTAATGAAAAATTCCACAATCACTTTGATTGTTTCAAGTAAATATAATTACAGAAGATTAAATGAAATATTTTAATGCTCAAAGCTATTTTTGTGGGTGATTGGATGTGGAATTAAGTTAATTTTTTATTGTTTGAATATTTTTTTTTGATTATGTTGTGATTTATAGTCTATTAAGGCTTGGATGAGGTTAGGGATCGTTCACTTATGACTTCCGAAATTTACGGTCATTTTTCAAAAAAGAACAATGGATTTCTAGAAATTTCTATTGTTCTTTTCTTACTGACCCCCCCTCCCCCCCCCCCCCCCCCCCCCGCCCTGGACGTCATAAGTGAACGGCCCCTTATTAGCTTCATTTTTTGGTAGAATTTTGGCTGAAATATGTTTCAGATGATTTTCAAAGGTTTAAACTTTGTGATTTGAATCTGCGGGATTTGAATATTCATTTATAGCTCGACTATACGCAAACCTCGATTAATTCGAAGAAAACTTTATTTTTAATTCAAGAAAAAACTTCAAAAGATTTCCGAGTTAAGAAATTATTTAATTAAAACGCTCATTCATCGTGTAAATGGAATCGCATTTCTTTTGATAGTTTAAAAAATGCACAAAGAGAAACGATTCCTCTTTCTTAGCCTATGCAGCCTCATCACGTTTTCATAATTCATAAATCAAAAGAAGAAATTCTTTGTACAATAATGCGAAAGTTCACAAGAGTTATTGGATGAGCATCATTAATTTTTAAAAGGAGATTCTTCAATCTTTCATGTTTTAAAATAGATTCTGCCTTTTACATAAACTGCAACTGCAATTTTCAATGGAAACCTATAAATTAAGTATTTTTGTCTCTTATCATTTTCAGCATCCTGTTTAAGCTATGGACATTCTTGCTGGGGAGGTAAGCGATATGTTCATTAAATTGATTTATGTGACTCTTAAAACTATCTTTCAATATAGCACATGGCAAGCGATCTTACAACCCACAGAGAGATGTTAAAAGCAATGACTTCAATCATTGGGCTGCTTTGAAATTCCCAGAAAAGGTGAGGTTTTTAATATTTAATAAATTTATTGTTCCTACATGCAATGTTATGCAGGCTGATGTCTTTCCATTCAAGAAGCTTTTTAGAGATGGTTCTATTCAGCAACAAATGAGATATCCAAACAATGAAGTGTAAGTAATTTTTAATTTATTTTTCATTTTTTTGTCATTTTTCATCAATTAAAATCTATTTTATGTTTATCGATCACTTGATTTAATTATGTTCACTGGACAAACTACATACAAAACATTACAAATTCATATTTGTGTTTCAGAGCCTTACAAATGTTTTTTAAATTAAAAAAAACCGTTAATAATTCTCATTTATTTTTCTTATTCACAGACCAATAAATTTCCCAATTGTAAATCCACAATTTCCATTATACGAAGAAGACGATGCTGACAGAAGCTTGAGGACAATTATTGAAAATTCAGATGAAAATGAGGATGTTCAACAACGGCTAGCAGCAAGACTCAACGAAGATCTCAAGCCATACCAAACGATGAGACTAGCAAAACAGATTCCAAATACATCACAATAATGGATATAAATGAACACGTTTCTTCCTTCAATTGAACATCATATAAAGCATCTCAAAAAATATATAAAATGGGGAAAAATATTGCTGCATATTTTCTTCTTATTGATCAAATATTGTTTTGATTTTTAAGGCTGGATTTAAAACTATATTTGGTCATCGAAAAATAAAAATTTAATGATTATTGTACACTAAAGCATTGTAATTATAGATTAATTAATATACCTACTATTTAAATAAAGAAGAGAGGTCATCAAAGAGAGAAATCTGTTGTGTTGTTCTTTTTTAACGGCTCTTACCAATTCAAAATAAAAAACTGTTGTATGGTTCTGTTTTAACGGTTTTTCACAATTCAAAAATAAAAAGCTGTTGTATGGTTCTTAGATTTTGATTGTCTTACATTGTCAAGTGGATTTTCCGTAATATTTTAATTAAAACACGTTTTTAAAATAGAATTAGATAAATATTTCACAATATTTGTTTAAATAACGCATTAATTACGTCCAAAGGTGTCAAGTTAATAATATTAAAGCCATGAGAACTGCATTTTCACAACTTTCTGTTCTTTTGATAATTTGCTGTGTCATTGTTTCTGCTCACAAGTCCCATAAACATGACAAGAAGGAACGAGATATCCGAGAATTCAAAAAAGTCATTGAAAGAAGGTAATTTATTTAAATTAAAATGGTTTTTGAGGTTCATTGATGAGTTTTCTATTAGAGATGATGATCCTGGATCTTGCTGCTGTAAAAATGCTAGCAGGAAGTGGAAATCACAGGATTATGAAGACAAAATGGGTCGGTATTTATATGAGACAATCGTAGATGAAGATTACAAGCACAAGTCATCAAAACGCTCAAAGCGAGAAGCAAAAGCAGGCAAGAACAGCGATCAAATTGTTACAGACAAACATGCTTCAAAAAAATCTTACAAAAAGGTTAAGGACATTGATGATGAGGCTACTTCCGTCTACACAGCAGACACAGAGATACATTCTGATTCAAAAGATAGGAAGTCATACTCGAGCGATGCCAAAAATGTAAGAAAATTTTAGTTCAACTTTGCTTTACTATAATTAAACTTTGTATTTCTCCAGTCATCGATATCTGAAGCAATGATTTGCCTGCAAAAATGTGTGGAAACCCTGACAAACTGGAAATTGTTTTAAAGTTGTGCATCTATGACTTGCTGATCTGGATCTCACTACGAAAGAAATAAAGTTATAAGTAAGCTGATCAGTATTCCTTATTGTGAATCTGTGATTTTATTAATTCCTCTTTTAAGTAATTAAAATTAATTAACAAATCATTCTTATATCCTTAAATGTTTAAATAAATTCAATATTTTGAGCTTTCGGAACAAATGGAAAAGCTTAGATTTCGTTTCCAAGTCAAAATAGATCCTTAAGCATTCTTTATGAACTTTAGTTCCATTTATGATTTCATAATTGACAGTAAAACGATTTTTGCCTTCATACAAGTCGGGAATCTTTTTGATAAAGTCACCAGATGCAACATTATTCAAGGTTAAAGCAGACTGAAATAATTAAATTGACAGTTGTTTGAAAAAATCATTTATGAACCAACTTACATCAGCAGGAATTGGACAATCATGCATATTTTTGGTTGCTTGATACCATGGCTCGTGCTTAGACTTCATTTGAACGCAAAAGTCAGGGACATAGCGGTTTAGAAATGAAGAAATCCTAAAGAAAATGATGAAAACTTATCACTAAGGCTTGAACCTATAAGAAAAGGTCATTGACATTAAGTTACCATTGATTGAACTTTAGCTGCTCAATTGACATAGACACAACAAATGGACTATTAATCTCGGTTTTGAAGACCACATCTCCATTCATATACACTAGAAAGTATTTAAAATTGAACTGCAAGTAAGCGAAACTAAGAACCTCAATACATACTCTCATTATCCTTATTATAGAATTTTAGATTACTAAAATCAATCATCTGAATCTTTCCATTCTCAGTACAATCCTCAAACGTTTCATTGACAATAGCAATGACTTTTGACAAACCGACCTGCAAATACACTATTACCACTAATAATATGCTGAAAATGTCCCTAAAATTCATTTTTATATCTAGTAAAAGTACTTCAGGTCTCACAGACTAATCAAATGATTCATCAAGTGCCTCAAATTAAACGCTTTTGATCATAAAAGTTGAACTCATTAAAAAATTTATATTTGTTTGTGTCCGGAAATCGATAATTATCATTACATACCCATAAATTTGATGCAGTCATTGATAGGCTTTTATATACAGCACGTGAAGTATATTTGAGATTTAAATGTCTTGACAATTTTCTGAGTTTGAGGAACTTATGACTCAAGCATTAAACTAAAATGTTTTCTGCTATGCTTCTCTCATGTTCTCTCCCTGATAACCGTCATTTTTAATTCAAATTTTCCATTCTATTTTTTCCAATTAAACGCCAACTTCAACTGCATCATTCCAATCTGTAATTCAAATTTAATTTCAACGGAAATTCATATTCAAAGCTGATTTGGGGGGGGGGGGGGGGGGAGAGGGGTGCCGTTTTGTAACGGTTAAACCAAAGAAATGTTTTTTCATGCAAACTGTGACATTATTTTTGAACATTCCCGAAGATAATTCATTTATTGAGTTTAACATCAGTTTATTCAGTCTAATTAATCATCTGAAGCAGACTCATTTCTTTACAGTAAAATAAATTTCATATTTGATCAGATCCTTTCCATTTTCCTGCAATATAATATTCATCTGATACTTTCCACTATTTAGAGGTTGAACTAAGCTTTTGGAAAAAGGCAATGAAAACTTTTGAAGTCTATAACGTCCCTAATTAGATGAGAATTTAATATTAAATCAATAAACAATTTAAAAAAAATACAACTTACTGCTGGAAATGGACATGGATTATCTTTTGGCATGTTGCTCGACTTAATCAGACTTGGCCAAAAGATTGTTTCTTCCTTTACGAATACACAAAATGGCTTAACAGACCGAACCATCATTGCATTTTCATTGTGCAGCTCCAGGACGACAAGCTTTTGATTCCCAAGATCAGTCAAAACTGTAAAATTTCCTCGGAAGTAAATTAAAGTCTTGTCCCTGCTTCTTGTAAGCTTCATATATCTATAATTAATGATATCATTTGAATCCTTCGGGAAGTACGTCAAGTCATCGTAGTAAACTTCCAGACAACTTAGTTCCACAATGAATAGCAATAAAATTAGAACTGACATCTTCATAATGCGAATGAGCAGCAGCAATTGAACAATTCGAGTTTTTGGTGCCGATAAAATCATAAAACTGCAATAAAATTTAAAGCACACGTGATGTTTACATAGGAACAATAGACTTTATCATTAATGATGACAACTACGTCATTGACCAAAGGTAGTAATTGAGCGGAATAATGAGCATGTAAATATCATTAAGCCTTTGTGAATCGATAATGAATTAAGCATATAGTTTGCGTGTTTTTCATAAATTTTTGTGATTCACACATTTAACAGTTTGATCAATTGGATGTTGATGTGGTCACTTCCGATAGGACTTTTTACGTTAATTGAGTATATTTATGAAACAGATCAGCTTTCATGAAAGAACCAGCTTGGAAAAAAGGATTTATTTCAGATATGTATAAGAAGCACACATTCTTCGACACATGTGTCGATTCCTCAAATTTATAATTTTCAAATTTTAACGGTTTTTGTAAATTTTGAAAATACTTAAATAATCTCAGTTAACTTGAACAAGTTGTGATTACACGTGAAAATGGAAATAAGTCAAATTAAGTATATAATCTTCACTTTATACAATAATAAGCTATAAATGTTAGGTAAACAGACCAAAAGTAATCAAGATGAAGTTTTGATTAAATGCAAGAGAATTGTAAGTACGAAAACATTTTATTTATTGCTTGGGTTTAAATTTTTGGAAAATTTACGTTGAATTTCTACACTAAACCCTTTCTGGTGACATCTTAAGGAATAATCCTACACTGGACATCGACAGCAGCTAGGATTTTATTATTTTGAATTGCTGCTAATCTTCCATGATATTCGCCAGGCGGAATCATTGAGAACTTTTTCTCGTCAATCATTAGATCTTTGATCCAGTACTTTCCCTAATAAATCGAATTAGTAAGGCTAATATCATATTAAGCTATAAAGCTCACCTTAGGCATTGGACATGGGTTGCCTTCAGGCAAATTGCTATTTCTTTGAATGTCAGGCCAGATCTGCTTTTCATTTTTGAGAAAGTCACAAAGTTTGTGCTGCGATTTCATCATGACAATCTTGTCCCTTTTGTCTTTAACTTCCAGTAAGATCTTTTTAAGAGTAATAAAGAAATTAGCTTTAAAGTAAACCTTTTTGGTATCTTATGGATTAGTTTCAACTCACTTCCTTTTCATTTCCACTATTTTCAAGAAGTTCAAAGTCACCAGAAATTGAATAATGATTCCGGTTCTCCTTTTTTAGCCTTAATGTCCCAAAATCAAAGAATCCAGTAGATTTAACTTTGGGATCTGGTCTAAAATTTTCAATTTCCACTTCCCTTGATGTAGCCCCAGCTATTAATGTAAATATTAATACAAAATGAACTTTAAGGTCCATAGCTGTTTGGTCTATCCACTGAAAATGTTAAAAGTTAAATGAGAACAATTGTGTAGCTTAATTGGTGCTTTTATAGACGAGAACTTGTAGTGATTTGACAGCTGATTAGAACCAATTAGTAATCATAATGAGCTGTAAATAGTGGACAGTATAATGAGGCACGAGGGGGGTTATGAACAAAATTGTTGAACAACCCCCTTACCTAAAAATACATTAAATCGTGTTAGGTCCAGCTTGTTAAATGAACAGCTTAGGAAAACTTTCAAAAATAAGCTTTTTTTAAACATGAAAATTCAAAATTCTTTTATTATTATCAAAATAAAAATAAAGTTCAATATTAATTCTTCAATAAAGCTTCCAAAAATCTATGGAAGTGACATGATCAATTATCAATAGAACCAACACGAAAGGTTTAAGAGCCAAGAAGTGACATAGCCAATGCCTCAGCATCATTCAAATTCAATTTAGATGCAATGTTCTTTTTAGATTTCTTTGTTTGTGGCATTTCCATTTCTTCTTCACTTTCTTCATCTTTTGGACGCTTCTTTTCGTACAATTTCGTTGGTAGCTTATGGATTGGACCTTCGTCGCTATCATAATCGCTTTGACTTTCATTATTTGAGACAGAATCGTCACTTTTGTTGCTTGATTTTGCATTAATTTTGTCATAGTCAGGCAGCCATGATAAATCAGGTTCACTGCCACTTTCAAAGTCGTCTCCTTCCTCTTCATCACTATCTTTCTTGTCTTCCTTCTTTTGCTTCCGTTTCTTTTTAGTTTCACGATGTTTTTGCTTGACAAGTTCCTTAAATCTTTTCTTATCGAATTTGTCTTCTTCTTGCAATAATTGCTTAGCTTTTTCAATGTTGATTCCGCCTTCATCTTCCTCATGGTACTCTTTAGCTAGTTCTGACTGCAGTTCCTTAGCTGTATTAGTAACAACATTGCCATCATCATCAAACTGGATCTTTTTATTTGCAACAATTTTCTTTTTTGCGAGCTTTTTGGCAACAGCAGCTTTTGTGACGAGCTTTTGCTTGCGAGCTTGATTTAAATCTTCCATTACTTCCATTTCATCATTACTGCCAATTTCAATATCGTGATCTTTCCTTTTTACTCTGACTAATCCAGCGTCGTCATCGTCACTTTCGTCAGCCATTAAAGCACTTAAATTAATCGATTTCATTTGCTGCTTTTCATCATCTTCGACATTTTCACTATCTGATGATTCTGGTTGCTCATTATCAGCTGCTGTTATTCCCTTTAATTGCTGTTCTTTTCGTTTTTTAAGTCTTTGAAGGAATCGAACTCGAGGAGTCACAACAAGCCCGAATGACTTGGCAAATTCATCAAAATTAATGGACTCGACATCGAAAACTTTCTTATTTTTCATTAAAAAGACTGACTTGATGTAAGCTATAAATGCACGCTGTGCTGTATCCTTTAAATCCTTTGATTGTGCTAAATATGCTTCCATTTTGACACGCGGTGAGAACAGCTGTTTTGGATCAATCGATATCTTTTCAATTGGAATTTTATTGCCTTTTAATTCCTCTATCATCGGTTCCTCTTCGTGTGGTGTTAGAACCAATAAACTTTCACCAGCAGCATCATGTCTAGCTGTTCTACCAGCTCTATGAATATATGCTGTTGCATCTTCTGGACAGTCAAGCTGAATGACCCAATTAATAACTGGAAAATCTAATCCACGTGATGCTATGTCTGTTGCAAATAAGACGACTTTAGATCGCTTACAGAATTCATCATAAATAGCCATACGACGGTCTTGATGTAATGTTCCATAAAGTGCTAAAAGTGACACGCCTGGACGCAATTTACTAAACATTTCATAAACAAATTTGACTTGTTTACAGGATGACATGAAAACTATCGATTTGTGTATCTGATGAGTTTTAATGAACGACCATAACATCATGATTTTATCTTCTTGATTGATTACGACATAATTTTGGTGCAATGTTGTTGGCGTTGTTGTTTCTGACTTTTCATGTGGTGCTATATAAACTGGTGATTTTAAACTTAGACGTGCTAGATCCTTTATTGATTTCGTTTGTGTAGCTGAAAACAGCAAAGTTTGTCTATCTGTCGGTAAATTCTCAATAATAGCATTCATAGTCTGTGAAAATCCAAGATCCAAACATCTATCAGCTTCATCCAGCACTAAAACTTGTGTTGAGTCACAATTAAATAGTGGATTTTCGTCCATATGCTGTAGAAGTCGTCCTGGAGTGCAAATAATAATGTTGACTTGATCCATACGTGATTTCTCAAACTTCAAGTTCTTTCCTCCTATAATCAAACCACTAGAAAAGTCATGATGAGCACCAACCTTCTTAAGAGTCTCAAATATTTGATAAGCCAGTTCTCGCGTTGGCGATATAATTATCTAAATGAATTAAAAATCCAGTAAACATCCAATTAGGAAGTACATCAAAACTGTATATACTTACAGCACCAACACCGTCCATTCTCGACCATTTCTTAGTAAAAAGATTCTCCAAAATCGGAATTAAGAATGCCAAAGTTTTGCCACTTCCTGTTTTCGACGCACCAAGCACATCACTTCCATTTAATCCTGGTCCTATTGCTTGCTTCTGTATCTCCGTTGGAACCTTGAATTTATTATCAATTAAGCCTTTACGAGTTTTCCTCGATAATGGAAAGTCATCAAACGTTTTAATATCACGGCAATTTTTGATATTTCCATACTCTTCCTGCAACTGCTTAATTTCATCGTCCTCACGGATATGCTGTCTGACCTTTGGCTTCACTTTGAATGGCTTTTTAGAACCGGGTTTCTTGAATTTCTTGTTCTTATTAAATTTATTAACTTTTTTCTTATTTTTGAACTCCATGCTTGATTTGTTTATGTTTTTTGAGATGACATGGTTGGTATCTCTGATGCTGAGTATGTTACTTTACATAAATTAGACAAAACCTGTTTATTTGATCTATCTGCTATCCAGTTAATCAAATAACAGATATTAACATTCAACATGTGCTAATTCAAAGAATCAGTCACAATTTTGAATCCAAAAGCTATAGATTACCAACTCTGGTTATGCGCGAACTTTAAATTCTGTATCAACTACCTTGTGTCAATTCGTGTCTGTCTGACATAAATTTTGTTTTTATTTTTTTCGCTGAATTTCACTAAAATTATTTCCTCTCGATTATCACTGCTTTTACGTCCAAAAGGGCGCTTTAATTATAGTATTTTAAGAAGATTTGACAATTTTGCAATAATGGCATCAAAGGACGGTAAGAAAGTCATCAATTAAGCTGTAAAATCCTTAAAAAACTTAAATGACGTTTTATTAAAGCAGACAAAAATGATGAAAAACCAAAAACTGGAAGTGATGAAAAGCAGGAAGAGCACTCACCGGATCACAGTGATAGTCTTATGGATAAAATTGCTCATTTCTTCTCGGATAAGCTGCATTTGACGTCACAAACTTCAGATGAGGAAGACTCAGGAAGGTAAAGTATTGATTTATATTGATTATTGATGGATACAGGGTTGGACTATGTCAAGGATTGATTTTAAGGCATTACTGATGTTGAAAAGCATGACCCATGACAGATTATTGCAAAGTTAAAAGATCCAGCAAAGACAATATTCCAACTCTGAAATATCTGCAATATAACCAGTATAAATAATTAATCATTTCAATCTACTCAACAATAGGCAAGTGCTGAATCATGTAACAATCCAGGGAGTAATTGATGCATGGAAAAGAGGCCTTTTTAAGAATATTGTCACAATGGTCGGTGCTGGGATATCCACAAGTGCTGGAATTCCTGATTTTCGATCACCAACTTCAGGATTATACAGCAATTTACAGAAATATAATTTGCCATACCCAGAAGCAATTTTCGAGATTGACTATTTTCGTGAAAATCCACAGCCATTTTTCAAGCTTGCAAAGGAGCTATATCCTGGAACTTTTAAGCCAACACCTAGTCATTACTTTGTAAAAATTTTACAGGACAAAGGACTTTTATTAAGACATTATTCCCAAAATATTGACACATTAGAGAGAATTGCAGGAATTGACGACGAGAAATTAGTCGAAGCTCATGGAACATTTTACACAAATCATTGTATCGATTGCCAAAAAGAATATGCCATGGAATGGATGAAAGATGAAATATTTAAAGACAGCGTACCAACTTGTCCAGAATGTAATGGACTTGTTAAGCCTGACATTGTATTTTTTGGAGAAAATCTTCCAGAAAGATTCTATGTTTTACCTCATCGTGATTTTAAGCAATGTGACTTGCTCATAATTATGGGTACATCACTGACTGTTCAGCCATTTGCAAGTCTTGTGGACTTTGTGAGTGACAATTGTGTACGTCTATTAATTAATCGTGATAAAGTTGGCAAGACGACAAGTGGATTTTTAAGAGGTGTCTTTTTCGGTGAAGGATTGTGCTTTGATCTTCCTGGAAATCGACGTGATGTGGCATATGAAGGTGATTGTGACGATGGATGTTTATTCTTAGCTGATCAATTAGGATTTGGTGATGCATTGAGGGAAATGGTAAAGACAGAGCATGAAAGAATCGATAAAGAGTCAGGAAAGACAAATTCAGATCAAAAAGAATCAAAAGAAGAAGAAAGCAGCAAAGATTCATTAGACGACAGGCCTGAAGAAGAACAATCTAAGGAAAAGCTATTAAAAGAGAGCGATGGAAAGGACAGTGATGTCAAAAGTTCAATTTAAAAGTTACCACCATATATATTTTTGGGTTGCAGTGCAGTTCTATTGATTATATATTATACTAATATATGCATTCGATTAATATTAACATATGATTTTATCGAGGGTAAATTAACATAATCTTAAGTATCTACGAATAATGAAGCTAAAACATCTAAAAAGTATTTTGAACTTCAACAGTTTAAATTCGAATCTTAAACTTCAACGGTTTAATTTCAAATTTTGAACTTTAAGGGTTTAAATTTAAAAAAGCCGCTAAAATTTGAATTTAAAATGGCGGTTGTTCTAGAAGTTCAAAATAAAGCTATAGATTCTAAAATTTGAACTTCCTAATCCGTTTTGTATCCTCATTTATTCAAATTGAAATTAAACAAGTGACTAAACCTTTAAGAATACAGAACGACATCCAATAATTTAATTAAAAAATGTAAATTTGTAGCGTCCAAAATTTTTCTAGAACTTTATAAAATATTCTGTAAATAAGCATGGATTACCTCATTCATTGATGTGAATGAAATGAAAAACTGTGTAAAAAATCTGACATTTACAATAAAACCTTTAACTTCAAATTAAAACTTTTCATGAATTTATTAATTTAAACAAAATCTTCTCGATTATGATTCACAAAGTTTTGGATATTAGCCATTTGGAAATAGAAAGTTCGTCTCCATTGAAGGTAATTGTCCATTACATAATTGTTATAGACTTGATATTCATCATCATCTTGATGCAATTGAGCAAATTCACGATAATTTTCTTGTGGATCTTCGTCATCCTGCGATTCCTCGTCGTCTACTTCCTTCTCAGACTCACTCTCAGTGTCTACAGACTCAGAATCAGTTTCATTGTTCTCTGTCTCAGTCGTGTCACTTTCCATTGAATGCTGATCTTCGTCATCTTCTGGATTTCGGACAAAAATTATGCAGCGCTTGTCTTTTGGTGATTTTGAAGGTGCTATCGTGTTTTTAGTGACTTTTTCAGGACTAGTTTTGACATCTTGTGTATCCTTACATCCATTTACAACGATTTCTGGATATTTGTACTCATTTTGAACCTCGTTGTTATTAGCATTGCCGTTGCTTTGTGACAAAAGTTCGTATTCTTTAAGCAGTTCATCGATATTGGAGTTGCTTGATCGATTGCTAGTTTCCATCTTTTTGTTGTTTCGTTCTGAAGTCAATTTATTGTTTCTAGATATTTCTTTGACTGTATTTGTGTCGTAATCACTGCTATATCCATTTGTAGTATTTCCAGTACTTTTCTCATAATCATCCAGTAAATTTTTTGTGTCTGTGTCTTCATTAGTCTTCATACAGCTACTTTCATACTCTTTTAGTAATGCATCGGTATCGAAATTGTTGGAACCTTCATCAGGCTTTTGATCTACTAATTTTCTAGTGATTTCTAAGAGCATCAAGTTCTCATCTACAATAGAATCATTTTCATATCCATTTTGACTGCCTGGAATTGCATCAATTTTTGAAAGCTTCTTGACTTGTTCCTGATCATTAAAATCCCAGAAATTAAAAGTCATAGAATCATCAGGGAACTTGTAGACCATAGAATCATGACTTCCAATATCACCGAGCATTTTCTTAAACTTGGTTCCATCTTTTTCGCCATTAAGAATCGTTATAGCTATTCCATGGGTTCCAAATCTTCCAGCACGACCAATTCTGTGCAAGTATGTAAAGCAGTCATAAGGAAGGTCTAAATTAATGACCAGATTGATATTTTCTATGTCAATTCCTCTTGCCATTAAATCTGTTGTAATTAAAATTCTGCATTTAAATTTGGCTAATTTATTCAATACTTTAAGTCTCTGTGACTGTTCTTGCGATCCATTAATAATTTCATTTTTCCAGCCAAGCTTATTCAGGTAATTTCCATAAGATTCTGTCTTGTATTGAGAATCTGTGAACAGCAGGCACTGCTTAAATGTAATTTTAGTGAATATTTTCTCTAGTTCCACTAGTTTATGTCTCATTAACTTGATATTATCATTTTCTTCTGGAAGTTCCAAAGCAAACTGCTTGATTCCTAAAAGTATTGGTGCTTCTTGCTTTGGACTGATTCTTAAAGGATTTTTCATGTGTTTTTTGATCTGATTCTCAAATTGTTTGGTAACAGTTGCTGTTGCAGCAATTATTTGGAGATTTTTATGGTTTAACATCTTAAAGATTGTCTGTACATCTTTTCCTAAATGTCCTTGCTCGAATAGCTTGTCAGCTTCATCAAATACAATGGCTTTAATATTACTTACGTTAAATATCTCGTTTTTAATTAAATGAAGTACTCTGCCTGGCGTTCCTATAAAGTTACACAATTAAATGAATTGATATTATCGATAAAACTTGAGCATTTCCTTACCAACGACAATTTTTGCTGTCTGGATCTTTTTTCTGTCATTTTTCAAGTCAGTTCCTCCAATAAATTCACAAGCCTTAAAGTATTTCATGTATTTTCCTAGCCCATTAAGAGTATTTGTGATTTGAACCGCAATTTCTCTTGTTGGAACTATAATTAGGGCTTGTGGGAACTTTAAATCTTCATCGTATGTCTCAAGTAAGCAAATTGAGAATGACAGTGTCTTTCCGGTGCCGGATTTTGATTGAATTATCATGTCAAGCCTGCTTCTTGCTAATGGAATGATCTTCAACTGTATTGGGGATGGTTTAAAGTAATTCATCTCGTTTAATGCTTTTAATAGTTTTTCAGACAACAGGAACTTTGTGAATTGATAATTCTCAGCAACAATCACGTCCGCTGTATGCACTTTTACCTCCTTTTCATTCTCCATACTTGATAGATATTGTATTTAACGCTAATTTAATTAATTAAAGTAGAATTTGATGGAAATTTAATATTTTTTCAAATGTTGTTTACAAGTTTGAGAAACAATAACAACAAATATTTGGACTTGAGGCGCATTTTGCTTGTTTTTGCTTTTGTTTCTTGGTAATTTGATCTAAAGCATGTATCGTAGCATTAAAATAAGCATCAACATGCTATAATACTTAATTTTGCAACAATTTGAGGTAAAATTTGTCATTTTTGGATCAAAATTTACCGTATTTTTATTATTCAAATTTCAAATCTAATCCAACGTCTTTTATTCAGGAAATCGATTTAATTCCTTATAAACGCCACAGAAACACATAAAAACAAACAAAACACATCCTACAGAATAGTACGCATTAGACAGCATGTCAAAATAAGCACTGAACATGACATAAAGCTTTGAAAGTGTGAAAATAAAAATATTCGAAAATTTTTCGGTGGGAAAAGAAGTTTCGACATTCCTCTATCCAGTTGATAGTCCCCTACCAAACAGAAGAAGAAGTAAAAGTAGGAAGTTAATAGTATTATTCATATAAACACTTATTTCGTGTACTTTGAGAGTTTACGTCTTGTTAATAATTAGAATGATTTAATTGCAAAGTTCACGTCGTGGATTAAACATCATTTTAGTTCTTTTAAGAGAATTTTTTTATTTTTCGTCACTTCCTACTTTTGTATTTTGGTCAAAACAAAAGATCCAGTTTTCGTTATCGTTAATTAAGCAGAATGATTCGCGTATACAAATTATTTAATCTCCTTTTTGGTGTTTTTGTCGTAAATTTAACGCTTTGTGATGCTGTTGACCTGAACGAAGGAAAGTTGATAGCTGCGAGTGTCGTAAGTTATTTTAAGATCCATATTGTTCTATAATTAACTTTTTTTCTTCGTACCCAAATGACATTGCTGCTCTTTACAGATCTTTAGACATGGAGATCGAACTCCTGTGGAGCCATATCCTACAGATCCATATAAAGATCCCAAATTTTGGCCTGTTGGATTTGGACAGTTGACTAATGTAAGTAAATGAAGGATGTGTCGTATGTTACCATCATAATAGGATTTCATACCCTCATAAAAATTATCAGTACTCTCCCTTTGAAATTTGACATTATTTGGTTAGTGATTATGATGGTTGTAAGGTCTTATCAAATTTCGTACTTTTTACATTTTCTTTGTTCGACCATTTCGTGTGCTTATTTACTCATTTGATTAATATGCTGATATGATAATTATTTATTCCAATTACAGACTGGCAAACAACAGCATTTTGAATTAGGAAAGTGGCTTCGTCAGCGATACAATTCATTAGTAAGTGACAAATACAATCCCGATGAGATGATTGTAAGATCAACTGGTGAGTAAATGATTAATAATAATTACGATATCAAAATTTTAACGGACTTTTAAAATTTAAAAGTTTGAAGTTCAAAAAATTAGAATTTGAATAAGCCAGTAAATTTAATGGACATTTAAAGTTCAAAATTCGTAGCTTTACATTTACCAAAAACTCAAATCTCAATAAACCAGTAAAGTTATAAATATTTCTCATTTCTCTAGATATGGACAGAACTTTAATGTCAGCCTTATCAGACTTGTCAGGATTCTACCCACCAAAAGGAGTTGATGTATGGAATGAAGAAATTGCATGGCAGCCAATTCCAGTCCATACAGTTCCTGAAAAACTGGATGATTTACTTGCAGCCAAAAAGTCATGTCCAGTTTACGATTATGAACTAAAGAAGCTCTACAAATCAGCAGAGTTTAAAGCATACGATAAGAAATATAAGCCACTTTATAAATACCTCACAGAGAATTCAGGCAAGAAGGTCGATTCCCTTCAGTCCGTTCAGAACATTTTCAGCTGTTTACATATCGAAGAAATTTATAACTTCACGTTACCTGAATGGACGAAGGCAGTATATCCAAAGAAAATGTTTGAAATCTCTGGCTTATCGTTTGCTGTCAAGACATACACAACGCAGTTAGCACGTCTCAAGACTGGACCATTGTTGAAGGAAATTCTGCATCATTATAAGAACAAAACTGACAGTTTAACTCCAAAGAATGAAACTAAAAGGAATTTATGGATATACAGTGCACACGACACAACAGTTGCCAATATGCTCAACACTCTAGGTGTCTTTAAAGCTATTGGATATCACAATCCACCATATGCATCATCAGTATTGATCGAACTTATTCAATTACAAGACAATTATTACGTACAAGTTTACTATAAAAATTCAACGGAACCGATACTGTTAGATCTTCCTGGATGTGGAACTGCATGTCCTCTAAATCGAATGTTTGAAGTTTATAAAGATGTATTACCTGTTAATTGGGATGAAGAATGTACATTATCATTATTACAAATGCCGCTGGATATAAATGTTGAGGAATCATTGAGTTTAGTGACGATTTTCGGATTTATAGCTGTAATGTTATTTGTTGGCATGATCGTCTTGATTATTGCGACTGTCTACAAAAGACGTGATTATTTGAGTGAACAGAAGTGGAACTCACTCAATAATGATTCATTTATTTGGAATTGATTTATGTCCAGGCACAACTAATGACATCGCACACAATATTTTTTTTTGAAAATTAAGTATTAAAAGGCAAATTCATAGGTATTTTAAGGAAGAAGCAACTTTGTGATGTCATTTTTAGTGTTTATTTTAATTATAAGACTGTAACTATACTTTTCTATCCTCGATTAGTTAAATTTTCTCATAACTTTTAAGTTCTTGACCCAATACATTTATTTTAGAACAATCGCCAAGTGCATTTCTGCCGGATTAATAACACCCAGCTTTGATTCTTTGATTTCTCAAAGGTCTAGTAAGCTGTCAGCAGCCAAAGATCCAGTAACAATAGGTGACGGTTAATTAACTCAAAATCAATATCAGGAACTACTCAGATGGCAATAAATTAATGCAAAAATGCACTTGGCAGTGACTATATCAATTATTCAGCCATACATGAACCTTTTTTATTACGACAATTATTTTTTAAATCCATAAATTGTTGTGAAACTCATAATAAAATATATATAAATGAAGCTATGCTGAGATGATAACGTATGTCTAATGTTTTACTTGAATATGAAACTTACATGACGGCATGCTTACTATTTCAGCTGTAACTATTGCATTGATGCCCAAATTTGCCAATGTTCCACGAATTAGTCCACAAGTGAAGACTACGTGTGCTGGTGCTAAGTCTAGGTATTGAGACGTGTTGGATATTTGTCTTAGGAATCGGAATGTGTTGTCTTGAAGGACGTAAATGCCTTGATGATTAGTTCTTAAATTATCGACTTGCTTTTTAAATATACTTGACCAGAAATCTGTGCAAATGAACTTGATCGTGTCTAATTCATCCTTAAATCGTGGCATTTCTCTTGTAAGTCGCTCAATTAGGCGATATCCAGTGGAAAATCCAACATACTCTAATTGGGAAATTTTTGTTGACTGAGTTTGTTCATTTTCCTGTAAAAATAACGATTTTATTATTATTGTAGCTTATTTTGGGCGATTTTTAATTTGTCTTACCCTTTTATCATTAACACAATAGTTCACTAGCTCGAAATGAAGGAACTCAAAGAGATTTTCGTCGCCCATACTTGATTTAATTAAGTTTTTCCTAGTTTTTTTCTGAATCAGCAAAATCAAAACAATACTTTATTAAGTATTAAAGGCAAACTATTGTTACGCTGCTTCTGCGCATTTTGAAAGGTGTGAATGACTTAATTACGAAACTTTGGTTTAAATGAATTAAATTTTAATGGTTTATTGAATTTTATTTTTTACAAACAAATTTTGATGTTATTCTTTTTGATACAATATCAATGATGTTGCGATTTTTATGTAAATATGAGAAAACTTTAAGGAATAGCAGCTTTTTATAACACAGAAAGGTAATTTAAAGATATAATTCATCTAATGACATCAGTTTTGTTCATAATATAGCCATAATTATCTATAATTTTACAAAAGATTCTATGAAAAAATTACTTGTTTGTTTACATTTTTTTCAAATTTAAAAAACATTAAATTCTGAACAAAAAAGTTGAATCATCTATTTTAGCTTTTCTGTGTACTCAATTAATTAACAAAGCCATAGAGAGTCTTAATTCAACCAATTCATCTCAAAACCTGACCAATCTCAACATCCAGCCAATACAAAGTGATCAAAACAAACCCAAATCTGTTTTGAAAATCAGCTGTTTTGTTATCAAAGAGGAAAACACAAAAGAAAAGCTGTGTGCAGTAAAAAATTGGATGCTTACTGTACATTGGAAAATAATGGCGAAAATTTTCAGTGTACTTTTCTTAGTTTTATCAATCTTATTTGAAGCTCAAAGTAAGTGAATTATAGTGATTATTAAAGAACTAAGCTTGCTTAATAAGAATACATTGAACGATATCCCAAATAATCTCGATTACTGATGAAAATCAAAATTTTCCATTTTTTCAGCCCAACTTAATAAAAATTTAAAGTATTTTGAAACTCTTCATGTTGACGAAATCAGTCACAAAGTAGTCAAAAGAGGATTAAAGCACAGCATTAATTTGCACAATAAGATCCGGGAAGTGGAATTTGAGACATTAGGAAGAAAATTTAAGCTAATTTTACATCCACATCGAGATGTCCTTCACCATAATTTCCGTGCATATACAGTAAATTCCGATGGAAATGAAACAGTTGTACATTTGGATCAAGACAGTTTTTTTCGAGGTCGTGTATTTGGTGAATCAGCATCGCATGTCAGTGCTCATATTGATGACTCAAATGTACTCACTGCAACAATTATACTTCCTGATGAGACGTATCACATTGAACCTTCATGGAGGCACATGGAGAAGCCATTGCCTGAGAGTAGTGACAAGCATATGGTCGCATATAAAGCATCTGACGTGAAACTTAGCTGGGAAAATCATGAACATGGTACTGGTGAAGAGCATTTTACACCTGGAAAGTGTGGATACATAAAGGAAGGTGCTGAGCTAGAAACAGACGATGATGACGACGAAGATTTTGAGGAACCAGAAGTTGAAGCCTATGGATCCACAGATGAACCAAAACACAAAACGAAAAGAAGCAAGAGACAAGCTGATCAATATGAATATACTCCAACAAAGACGAGATGTCCATTACTGCTCGTTGCTGATTATCGATTCTTTCAAGAAATGGGCAGTTCCAATACTAAAACTACAATCTCTTATCTTGTAAGTTGTTAGCAAACATAGACTTTGATTATGACTGAATATTGTCCAAATTCTAGATAAGTCTTATTGACCGAGTCCACAAAATCTACAATGATACAATTTGGCAAGATAGGGATGCTGACGGATTTCGTGGAATGGGATTCGTCATCAAAAAGATTCTAGTTCATAGTGAACCGACCAAAGTACGAGGAGGTGAAGCTCATTACAATATGATCCGTGAAAAATGGGATGTTAGGAATCTGCTTGAGGTATGTCGGAATCTTGGTCTCTATCTTTTATAATCTAAACTGAATAATCTCATTAACATGCTTAACTCTTATGGATATGGTTTGATATTTATTAACTTGATTAATAATGGATATAAGGTCTTTTCTCGAGAATATTCACACAAAGATTTTTGTCTTGCACATCTTTTTACTGATTTGAAATTTGAAGGTGGTATTCTAGGTCTAGCTTACGTTGGATCACCGAGACGAAACTCTGTTGGAGGAATTTGCACGCCTGGTATAACTTATTCATGCTTTGTTTACTAAATTATCAAATAATTTATTGAATTTTATTCTCTCACTTGATACTGTCTTGAAAATATCTGTTAAAAACTTAATTTACATAAGCAACCAGACCTTACTAATATATTTACAATCTCAAAAACCCTATAGACCCAAAAGTAATGCAACAAAATCTTAATCTCCTTACAGAATACTTCAAAAATGGATATACTCTATACCTAAACTCCGGACTAAGTTCATCAAGAAACCACTATGGTCAACGAGTCATAACCAGAGAAGCTGACTTAGTAACAGCTCATGAATTTGGACACAATTGGGGTAGCGAACATGATCCAGACATTCCAGAGTGCTCACCGTCTGCATCGCAAGGAGGAAGTTTCCTTATGTACACTTATTCAGTAAGTGGATATGATGTGAATAACAAGAAATTCTCACCTTGTTCGCTGAGATCAATAAGGAAGGTTTTACAAGCTAAAAGTGGTCGATGCTTTTCAGAACCAGAAGAATCGTTTTGTGGAAATTTGCGAGTTGAAGGTGACGAGCAGTGTGATGCTGGATTATTAGGAACAGAGGATAATGATCAATGTTGTGACAAGAATTGTAAATTAAGGAAGAATCAAGGTGCAGTATGCAGTGACAAGAATTCACCATGCTGTCAAAATTGTCAGTTCATGCCTGCAGGCGTTAAATGTAGAGAAGCTGCATATGCAACATGTGAACAAGAAGCTAGATGTACTGGAAATAGTGCAGACTGTCCAAAATCACCACCAATGAGTGACGGAACAATTTGTCAGGAACGTGGTCAATGTAGGTCTGGAAAATGTGTTCCTTACTGTGAAACTCAAGGATTGCAAAGCTGTATGTGTGATGTTATAGCTGATGCATGCAAAAGATGCTGTCGAATGTCAATCAATGAAACATGTTTTGCTGTAGAGCCACCAGATATACTGCCTGACGGAACTCCATGTATTCAAGGCTTCTGTAATAAAGGAGTTTGTGAAAAGACAATTCAGGATGTTGTCGAAAGATTCTGGGATATTATTGAAGAGATTAATATCAATAAGGTTTTGAGATTTTTGCGTGACAATATTGTCAGTAAGTATCAATGTTGGAACTGAATGTTTTTTTTTTTAAATTATCGAGTTCAAATTTTGAACTTCAAAAGTTCAAATCATTTCTGACAGTTATTTTTTCAAATAATTTATCACCGTTTTTTTAAAATAAAAATTAATATTAATTTTAATTCTTCTTAGTGGCTGTTGTGACAGTAACAACGATCTTCTGGATTCCAACAAGCTGCTTAATCAGCTATTTTGATCGTCGAGCTAGACATGCTGAATTGAAGGAATATAATTGGAAGCAGCAACTAGATTTAATACATCCAAGTGATAGACGTAGAGTCATACATATTCGTGTTCCAAGACAAAAAATAACAGTCGCGACGAGAATGTAATTCTATCTTATTTTTCTGTAACTGTATGTCCGATGCACACACAATTTTATTTCTTAATTAATTAATGTAAAATAATAAAAATTGAATTAGATTTAAATTAAATCACGAATCCTTGTCCATCGCTTCCGCTTGTCGCTTTTTATTCACATACTTTTTCCATTCTGTTTTATTCATTAATTTGATTCCGCGCTTTTCAGCTTCTTCAAGATTCTTTTGGTGATTTTTGTGTCTTGTTTCCTTTCGTTCCTTATCGTATTGCGTGAAATATTTCATTCGGAAGTCCACATTTTCTAGAGCATCATTCTTTACGAGTTCTCCAGTTTCAGCTATTTTTTCGTATGTTAAAAGGATTCTGGATGTATCACCAATAAGTTGCTGTCTGGATGTTGAAATGAGCTTTAAAGCTGAATGTTGAGGAAAAATTGTGTCATCATAAAACTTGTCAGGTATTGGGAACCAACAGACTAGCCTAAAATAGATCTTTCATTAGTATTGAGTAAAAAGAATTTCGAGTTCCACTAACCGTCCATCAATCTTCAAGTGCTTTACAGAGAAATTCAACAGGTCGTGAAACAAATTTGTCATTTTATAGTCCGATAACGATGGATAATGGACAGCATCTTCTGTCATTGCTGTAAATTTTCGTCCCTCCTTCTTTTCTACCTTTAATAATCCTTCTCGAACACCGTAGGGAGCTGAAAAGATTAATTAAAATCAAATTAAGTTGTTCAAAATAACAGTCAAATTAAATTCAAAAATGTTATTCAAAATAACAGTCAAAAAATTTTCAAATAAAGTTCAAAACATCGTCGTTAACCCTTAAAAAGTCAGTAAAATAAACAGAGCTAGCCTTTATTTGTTAATTTAATTAATTTCAAGTAATACTAAGTTGTTTAATGAATATATTGTATTAGAACCTAATAAATCGTTCAAGATGGATGTATTTGACAAGTTAAATGAGTTTCTAAGCAATGGTAAGCATCAAAATAGCGCAAAAGTCATGAGTTTCAATCAATTATTTAACTTCCAGAAGATGAATCGTTCAAGTATGATTCTGTCGACATGACAGATGACTCAATAGTTCAGGATAAAATAGAAGTTCCACAACAAAACGAGAATTTAAGCCAAAATAGTTCGAAAAGCACTCAGTCACAAGAAAATTCACAAAAATTAAGAAGATCCAAGCGAGGTCGAGCATCACAAAACAGCAGTAACGATGACATATTGGATCTAACAAATGAATTTGCTTACCCAACACACGGTGGGAAGAAGAAGAACCGAAGAAAACTAGCTGATGAGATTCCAACAATTGTCATTGAGGAACAAATCGATTTAAGTAATATTGTGACACCTGATTCAAGCCTAAACACCAGCAATGCTAGTTCAACTTCGGGACGTGGTGGAAAAAAAGGAAGGAAACCAAAAGCACCAAGAAAAGTCTCATATAAGAAGGCAATGGAACTTTTATCAGCACCAATTCCAGAGCCTATTTCAAAGCAGCCATCAAATGAATTTATTCCACAAGCTTCATCTACACAAAGAACGCGATCAAGCGATTATGCTGTAGACTTAACAGGCGATGTAGAAATGGGCGATATACACAACAAAAATCCAATATTCCAAAAAGTTGATATAGTCAAAGAAAAAGTTGAGAGTGCTTCTCAAGAAAGATTCAGTTTGGGACTGGATGATGACATAGACTTGATCTACGTCAATGTAAAGATTAAAGGGAAGATTAAGAAGTATCGATTTAAAGCAGATCAACGATTTTATGATTTATTTAAGTTGATTGGAGAAGATCAGGACCTTCCAGCTAGCAATGTAGTTTTATTCATTGGAGAAAAGAGAATTCATCCAGAGGATACGCCCGATTCTATTAACCATCGTGTCTCATTCATCTATACTTGTCGTTTTACGGATTCATCAAACTTGCAAGTTAACAAAAAAGACAAAATTGAGATAAAGTTCCAGTCAGATAAATGGAAAAAGCCAATATCACTTAAAGTTTCACGTTTTGAGTCATTTCTTTCACACATTCAGTTGCTGTGCAAAGAAGTCAATTTTAAGCCTGAACAGTTTTCACTTAAATTTGATGGTGATGATATTGATATGAAAAATTCAGCTATAGAACTCGAATTTGAAGGTGGAGAGATCATCGACTGTCGTGTTAAGACTTAATGTTTTTATATATTTTTTTTTCATTCCTTGTTATACTCAGTTTCTGTTAAAAAGAGCAATTTTTAAAAGAAATAAAGCTTTACTTACGATCACAAATTATTGAGTCGAATTTTAAGTTCCCTTTCAATGGATAATTGGCAAAGTCACCGACAAAGACATCAAGGTACAGATTTTGTAAGTTATACTGCTCCATATTGGCTCTAATGCTCTCGTCTGCTGCACGTACTTTCTGCAAAGCTCTACTTGGTTTTGTCTTGGCATGAAGTGTAAGGTAGTCAATGTCCATTCCGATAACATAGCTTCCAAAAAGTGCTCCAGCTATTAACATTGATCCAGTTCCACAAAATGGATCGAACATGAGGTCATTTTGGGAGCATAAGCCTTGATTAGCCATTAAGATTGATAGTTGAGGATCCATACTGGAAGAAATTATTAGCGTTTTTTTTATATAAATGATCACGCAATTTTAACATAAGTACCTAGTGTTGCCAATAAACTTTCTAGTTTTCAGAGATATCTTATTAAACAAATCTCTCTGTCCATCAGCAATATATCGTCCGAAATAAATATGCTCTGGATGTACTGGAACATTTAAATCGTCGATTCCATAATACTCAAAATACACAAAAGTATTATCTGGATTCTTTAAATCGATAGTTCCTAACACCGAATCAAGATAATTCATTGTCTCAATCTTTTCAATCCTCTGTTTAAGCTTAATATGCTTATTGTATGTCTCGACCATAAACTTGAAAGATTCATTTTTGTATTTTTTGTCTATTAAAGGCATTAACTTCTTGACATTTCCATGAAATTCATCATAACTAGTTCCACTCGACCATATTTCAGCCACAAACTTAAGTGACACAGAACGACTCGCGATTTGTCGAACTTCTGATTCCTCAACATTTTCTAATATCCAGTAAGGTCGCTCAATCGGTGTTGGTTTTGGCACTTCCACATTAATTTTAAATAATTTAATTAACGACTCAATCTCAGGATATCGAAACTCTACAAAATCTTGTGCAAAAAGTAGGAGATACTTCTTAATTCCAGCCATTTTTGTGCCTTACAACTTAAAATTCACGAAAAAATGTGCGAGACAAAAAAAAAATGTAAACAAAAACCCAGCGAGTAAATTTCATCTTTATGCTGCTTATGCTATATTTTCTTTTATTTCATTAATCCTCAAAAAAACAATATTGTTATCAATTAATGCTTAAATTCTTGTTAATTACTTCAAAAAAGGAAAGAAAAAAATTAAAATCAATCTCAAGACATTGAAACTGCTGCTGTTAAGCATTAAAAACTGATTCCGTTTGATTTTTTAGTGTTGTTGTTGCTGCTGCTCGAGTATGGATTATTTCTTGAAGCGTCGTCTAGCATTCTGATGAGGTGTTTGTGGATTCTGTCCTGCGTAAATGTTGTTCAGGAAGAAGTCTTCTTGTGGTTCACTGTAAGTTGAAAATTTAATTGCTCATAAATAGGTTTACCAAAGAAATGGGTTACAGGATGTGTTTAAATTAATCCAAACTTTTAATCCTGTGATTGAAATTTATTCAAAACTTTTAAAGCCTTAGCCACTTACTGAACAGGAGTATCCTTTTTGATAAATCGTTCCTTATCCTTATCACCAGCTTGCGTTTGATTTTGTTGATTTCCACCGAGTACAATTTTATATTGAACAACACATGAGTTGGCTTGAAGATGCGATAAAGCTCCGCGTTGACAAAGTGCCCATTCTAAGAAAAATATCCACAAACTCAATTAAATCTCATTTAAAGGCACAATATCACTCAATATTACCTGTAATATCGTAGACATTTCCTTCCATCAGCGCCAAATATTTCCAACGTAATCCAAATAATGTCGTTTCGGCCCAAATGTCACCTTCGCGTGCAGCATGCCTAATCTTGCAAGTACTACATTCTCGTGCTGCAAATGGCTTTCGTCCTGTCAGTTTGCGTGGATGTCTAAAGCAGCATGATGAACAGCGAATTGTATTGGCAGCTTCAGAAATTTTCGTTTGTAGCTGAATAAGGAGATCGTTTAATTCATTGAAAGCCTTTTCGGTGTGTAATGCTTTTGCTAGATTATCGTCGTATTGCTTACGACTCTCCTAAAATAGACAACAATGAATGAGATTTAAATTGGATTATAAGTATTAGCTAGTGACTTACTGGTTCCCCAATTAACTCAAACGAACGTTGCAGCACTTTAAAAGCTTCCTCAGCACCGGCCTGTTTATTTTTATCTGGATGAACTAACACAGCTATTTTCTTATAATGTTTCTTAATTTGCTCTTGTGGACAATCAGGACTAACGCCGAGTATACTAAAGAATTAATTAAATTTTTGATGTTTTTCCGTTTAATAATTATTTAAATTTCAGGTTCAAAATTTGAACTCGACAACATAAAAATTCAAATTAGAAACTATAGTTGAATATTCAAATCTGAAATAACCGTTAAAAATACTCACCTATAAGCATCCTTTTCTTTACAATTTAATAATGATTTCATGGCTTCCTCAGCAGTTTTAGGCAGTTTTCCATCCTTGTAATTATCTTTAGCATTGTCACTATTTGATTGCTTTTTGAATAACCATCGCCAAAATGCCCATTTTGATTTTTTATCAAACTTATTATCAAACCGTTTCCATATATTTTTAATCCATACGATAAGAGCTTTTCCAGGGTTACTACTTAATTCTCTCCGTATATACGACACACCACAAAGACCGCATTGATACGTCCAATTCAGACGATCCCAAATGATACCGAAACTAAGATAGCTGACATCGTAAATTAACATCCAAAGCCACTTGACAAAGATGTACAAATACTCAACGCATGATGCAAATAATTTCTGTAGGAACTCGTGTTTGGGCTTTCGATTAACTGCTGCTTTACCAGACATTCGTTTTTGACCTCTGTCAATTTTCTTCGTTGCCGAATTCAACGTTATTGGCGATTGTGCTTGCTTGCTATTCTTTTTATTATATCCAGAACCTTTAATTTTCTCTACTTTATGATGTTCACCTTGATAGACATTCTTTCGAATGTCATAATAATCTGACGATAATGTTGCATTATCTTCGTCATTATCGGAATCAATCATACTCGAATTTTCGTCTTCGTAGTCATTCTCGTCCTCGGAATCTGTTGTATATTTCTCCTGATTTTTAGCATTTGCATCATTAAGATTCTTTGATGATTTTATATTGACCGAATCTTTAGATTGTTGCTTCTTTTTCTTACCGTTATTACATTGTGATTGATTTTGGACCGTTGTTGCTATTATGGGCTTTTCTGCCTTAACAACGACTGGGTGTGAATTCTTCTTTACCTCAGCATTTGTTGCATTGTTTGTAATTATTGGATTTGTGGGGCTTTTGCGATTTTTATCGACATTTTCTTGCTGCTTCTTTTCGAAACTATTTGATGCTGTATATTTCACTTTAGTTCCTTTATTATTATTGTTATTTATAGGCATTGTTGTGTTTGGACTGCTCGAGGCAGAATTTGTTTGACCGATTGAGGTACTTGTCGTTGGAACTGCATTCTTACTTACAACATCCGAATAGGACATTCTCATTGGCTTCACTTCCGCGACAATTCTTTGTTTCTTATTGCTGTTGGAACTAGAAGCATTATTATTGGAACTGCTGACATCTTGAGCGGAAGTAGAAATTATTGGAGATTGCATTGATGTCATGTTAGCGATGGGAGACGAATCAGCAGTGGAAGCTCCATTCTCAATGTTGTTATTAATATTATTATTGTAGGAAGATGAGTCCAAATGAGGAATTGAAATGTTTAGTGGAGCGGTGGAGAATGTGCTGTTTGAGGCGTTTGTAGTTGGATTGCTGTTATGTCCACCAAATGTTCCGAATTCAAACTTTCCTGGGCCAAGATTGGATGTTACTAAATGATGAATTACACTATTATTATTATTGTTGTTATTGTGGCTGCTCGCTGGATGTTTAGGAGCTTGATTATTCATCATCATCGGTTGAAATGGCATTTGATTAGTCTGAGTATTGGGTATATAGTTATTGAACATATCCATATTATTCATAAACACTAGATTTTCTTGCTGATTACGATCAAATAACTCGTATTCCTTATTACTATCGCTATAATAGATTTTTACGTATGGTCCATTGTTATCTCGCAAAAAGTGCACATTCTCGGGTGTAGTGGGTTGGGTTATTTCACGTTGTAAGTCAAAACCATGTTGCATTGGCTAAAATTGGACAATATTGAGTTCATTACTGGATCTTTCTAATGTCATTTTGTCATATAAATCAACTTACTTGATAATGATTCTGATAGAATTGCTTGTTTTGATCATTTGGTGGAATTTGTTGCTGCCAAATATCAATGTTCCTCTTCTGTGATGCATTTCCGTTTTCCATTATAATTTATTGTGCAAAACTTTTGATGATGTCTTCTTTTTTGTAAAAAATACCTTAATTCGACTCAAATTCTATCCATTTGATGGTATTACGAGATTTCTCGTTGTTTCTCTCGAAGATCGTGTTTCAGTGGATGTTTTTGCTTATTTGTTGTCTATTAATCTATTGTAGTATAATTAAATAGTGAAAATTCAACTTCTTTGACGAGTTTTGACAATTTTTTTGGATGTTTTCGTAGTTATTTGCCCCTTGAATAGCTTAATTTTTAATAATTTGATATTTTGAGCATTCAGTTTGTGTCAACACTTCTACGCATTGGTATTTCTTCTTCTTTTCTACTATTTCTTATTTAGATGTTCTAATTATGCCTGCATCTCCATTAAAGTTGCAATCATTTTTTAATGCTTCATTGACAGTGGATTGAATTTTTTAAATATCAAAAACCTGTTACAATTTTAAACTTTTTATTTATAATCAATTTTAAATAAACAAATTTCTCAACTGTTTGCTTTAATTACTGTCAAATAATTTGAATTACATATAACAAACATCAAAGAGATGCGCTTAAGTCTGAATATGACTAGGATATCTATAATTTTTGACTTTAATTTTCATCATAACAAAAAAAGTTTCTAAAGTTCGTGAAATTAACATTTAAAATCGTCAAAAAGGATCTCAACATTAATTATGGCAGATAATCAGTCAGCAAAGGATAAAATGGCTGAAAGAAAGGCTAAGTTAAAGGCACTTCATGATGCTAGAAACAACGCAAGAAGCCAGAATCATGTAGAAGTGAAAAAGGAACTTGAAAGAGATCATTTACCTAAGAATTGGGAGATCAGGAAGCAAAAGGCAGATTGGTTAATTAAGGATAAAGCAAACAGAGAAGCCATTGAGGAGAAAGGACTTGATTATGATCGAGTAAAGTTATTAAATGTCTCAGCACTGGATCAGGATGTAAGCAAATACGAATTTTTAAAAGTTTTAAACTTGATTAGCGTTAATTTAATTAATTTTCAGAGAATCGAAAGAATCAAGAAGAAGAGAAAGGTTGGTGATCAAGGATTTGCAGATTATGAGACACAGACAGCACGACAATATCAAAGATTGATCAAACAAATGCCACCAAAGAACATCCAGCTATACAATGATCAGAAGGAATCTTATGGCGAGGAATATTATTCATCAAATCCAATTTTGGAAGGTAAAGCAAAGGATTCAAAGGAAGCAGTCAAAAGGATGGTCGATGATCTCGAGGAGCAAGCTAATAAAAGAAAGAACTTCTCAAGACGACGCATGCATAATGATGAGGCAGACATTGACTATATTAATGAGAAGAATGCCAGACTTAATAAGAAACTCGACAGATATTATGGCGAATACACGAAGGAGATCAAACAGAATCTGGAAAGAGGAACAGCTATTTAAAAACATTTACAATTATTTTTTATCACTTTCAGTTCATTTTCATTTTTCTTTTTAATGTAAATACAATTTCCATGAAGTCTATAATAAATTTAAAAAAAGATTTATATTCCTTTATAAATGTGAAATTTTTATATAATTTTCTTTTTTTTGTTCCTTAAATAATGGTTGCAATATTCTCTTATTTATTTCTTCCCTTTCTTTTGTTTTTTTTTTTTTTTTGTTGGCTTGAGATCAAATTTGAATTGGTGCTATTTTCATGTGATTTATTATGATTTTTAATTCATTTTCATTGTTGTAAACATATTTTGCTTTTAACCGTTTTTTTAATTCATAAATTTATAAATTTTTTGAAACTATACAAAAGTTGTTGATATATCTGTTGTATGGTTTTGAACTTCAATGGCTGTTGTATTGTTCTGTAAGTTATCATTGTATATGTCAGGTAAGATCTATTCAAATGTTTGCATTTGAAAACCACACAAATGATTTCAAAAATAAAACCATCCAAATGTTCAAAAATTTGAATATTTTAAATTCGTTATTTCTTAATATTATTGTTTTTGGATATCAGTCGTTAGTTTCAATTAATTTGTGATAAATTGAGCAAAAATAATCCCAAATTTGAATCCCAAGCCAACAAAACCCACAACTCAACTCCAAAAATTATTATGTATCATAAATTTAAAGAATCTTGATGCTGTGTTTAATCTTGTGATGTTGTTTCGTAGAAAGTAGAAGAACATTACTATCAGTTAGATGGAATGCTGCTAAAAGAAACAAGAACAGAAGCATAAAATTTATATCATGAATAACTGATCAATATATACTATTTCTTTATTATCTTATAAATGTCATCAAAAAATATATAGTCGATATATATACTTTAATTAATGTATGATTTCACAATCCATGCATCACATAACGAATCTTTTAGTACTTTTCTGATAAAAAATTAAGTCAAATTTATGTTTAAATAAAAATCTTATTAATTTGTGAGGCACAACCTCCAATGTGACTAAATTTTCTGCATAAAACTTTTCGTAATGATCCAAAAATAAGAAAATTTTCATCACATTGGATCGCAGCAAAATGTTAATAAAAAGCAACAAAAGAATCACTTTAAAGCGCTGTAGCTTGAATCACATTGCTATTATTACTATTACTATCGTTAGTCGCACCCTGCAATTGATTATTCTCAAGCATAGGACGAAAACTGCTTGAAGTAATTTTTATACCGCTAACTCTTGGCATTTCACATGTCTCGCATATATCCATTAAATGGTGATTTTGGAATGTGCAAATTGTGCAAGTCCATTTTTCATCAATACTATTCACATCTCGTCGTGGGATTCTCTCCGTTTCGCGCATTGTTACCGCTTCGTGATAACTTGGTGGCTGAGATGCTGGAAACTTGATGATGTTGTCGATTTGGGGAAGTAATGAATTACTTGGCGAGTGACCTTTTCGCGAGACGAGGCCTGCAAAGACACAATATAATTAACCATTTGACTAGGTTTTGATGGAATTTCATTCATAAATTTATTGTCTATATACATAATCTAGAAAGCCATATAAGGCACACGATTACGAAAAATTCCAAAGAATTTCATGAAAATTATAATAATCTAAATAACGTTCATACAAATCGTGCAAAAATACACGATTAACAATGTAATCACATGTTGATAGTATTTCTTCCAGTAGCAGTTGAATGCTGCATGTTTTTCAAGTCTCTACTGCTTGTTAAGCAGAAATTCATCTGCTTCTGTTGATTCCAAGATCAGAATCTACAGATCTATCATTAGACCTATCTTGACCTACGCATGTCCCGTCTTTGCAAACACTGCTGCCTGCCATTGCAATAAATTGCAGCTTTTTCAAAATAAATTACTCCGTATGATTCTTAATATTAGGTGGTTTGACTTCAAATCAACAATCGAGATCCATAACACAGCAAAAATCCCACTTTTGTCAAATTTCATATCTCACATTATTATTATTATTATTATTATTATTTGTTTATTCAGATTCTTTAGATTGCAAAGGAAAAGCCATTCTAAACAGTTTTAACAGAACTGCCAATTTCTATTTAAAAGTTGATCATCATTCAAACGACCTCTTTTCTTCATTTGGCCAATATAATTACGATTCACTGAGTTTTAGAGTAAAACATAAACTACCGAAACCTTGCCATTAAATCATATTTTCTCTGTATTTCTTAATTATTTAGTTTATTAACTTTTGGTCTTTTTTATAATTTTTTCTGACCACATTTCAAGTTGACACTATCCGAATTTCATATCTGGGCAAGATCAGAAAAAAAGGGAATAAATATTCAAATTCAGATTTCTCTGCTTTTAATAACTTAATTAATATGATTTCTTCACTACGTGATAGCTAATAATAGTAAGTTCCTTTTTAACATTCATTTTTCAAAATGGCGACTTATTAAGTTAGTTTAATTAACAAATTAATATTTGAAATCGATTTTTCTTTGAAAAGAAAGCAAGATAAATGTTTGGAAGCTTGACAAAAGTTGTAGAGCTTGCTTTTTTCTATCATATGATCAAAATAGATTTTATTAAAAATAAGTTATTTTAGTTAAATTAACTGAAAACCAAATTGAATGTAAAATGTATTTTTAAATCAAAACTATTAACCTTAATCGGTCAAGAACAATTACTTGATATCTAAAGAGTCTTTTACTATTTAATTTACATTCGAAAAAGGCTTAAAAGTAAGTTAAATTAACTATAAAAACAATGAAATTTAAGTTGAGCAACAAATTTTGCTCTTATTTGCTCACAAATTTATAATTTTAAAAACCGTTACAAAATTTTTGGTCAAATTTTTTACTATAATTTAATTTTCTCTGCTTGTCTTGAACAAAAAGTAATATTTCTTTTGTAATATGATAAACATTGTTGAATTCTATAGTTTGAAATGAAAAAATCAGTAGACGAATAACACAGCAATGACTTATGACTAGTTTTGTAAAACTCATCATAACTTGGTTAATTATAGTAGAATTGAAAATTTTCTCTCACAAACTTAAAGAAAATTACATATGTAACCTTTTTTGTAAAGAAAGATAGTTCCTGAACTATTTCCTTCATATCAAAATTTCAGCTTCAACATTTTAAAGCTGAATTAAGCTAACTTACAAATCCGCCATTTTGTATATTTTAGACAAAACTTTTAATGATCTGATTCCTTAATTATCTGGTGAAAAAATCGTTATGATTAATGAAGTGTTCGCAGAGATATTACATTTGCAACATGGTGTAAAATCGAATTTCCTCAAAATTGTTCGTGACGCTAAGCACTTTAAATTAATTTTTAATTATAATACAATGTCTAAGAGATACTTGTTATACACCAAAATATAGGTCTTGGCAAGGACTTTAAGAAAAACACAAGTCTTAAATACATATTTCGCATTATTGATTCAAAAATTGTAAATTATTGTTAAGCGTCACGAACAATTAATTTTTGATCTTGCCCATCTTGTAATCAATTAATTCTCAAACTTCTATATTTGATTTAAAACCGAAATAGGTTAATATCATATCACTTATATTTTTTGTTCCGCCATATATCAATGAATTAAATAAAAGGAGTATATAATTAATCAGTAGCAGTTGAATAAACAAATATGAAATGGCATGGGTTTTTGGTTCTTATAATCGCATATCGATGAAATTGTTTATTTAAAATATTTTAAATTTATGTCAAAAACTATTTAAAAAATAACAGTCACCAAAAATTAGTGTTATATCTGTCTTCGTTGTTATAATACAGTCATAAGACAAAGACAAATCGCCTTCAATAAACACATTCAGTTTCAAAATAGTGCTAAAAATTGGAATAACCATCACACGAACATTAAGAACTGCAATAAACCGCTTTACAATGACATTATATATTGAGACTATTGATAAGAGTTCTATAAACCCTTGTGACTTGTTATCAAAACAAATAGAATAAATGGGCTAATCAGAAAGCTTTTAAAACAGTATTATACCTTTTGGAATAGGCGGTGGAACACTTGGACTCGACGCTGACATTATAGCTCTACTTGGTTGAGCTGAGAATAAAAGTCAATAAAAATTCCACATTAATCTCAATATTTTTAAAACAATAGCAATAACTTACGAGATGTTACAACATCAATCTCATCAGATATTCTCCCACAAATCGTCCTCAACCTTGTAATTTCATCACACAACTCACGGAGTTCAATTTGCGTCATTATAGGCGTTGTGAGAGTTATGATGTCAAGTCTTATCATCTGTAATTTCTCCTTTTCTTTATCTAATTCACATTCTAATAGTTCTTTTTGTTTAATTTGTCTCTTTATGAGCTGACGTAAGTCATCTAAAACGAAGAAATGGAAAGGCAAAGAAAATTAATTTATTAGATAAAAAGTTAATTCATAAATTAAATGATAGATAAAGGAATGAAAATAATGGGAAAATTGTGGTAGGGAAGTAACTTGTCGTGGATGAAGCGTATTTTAAAAGAGAAAATTTTAATTTTTTAACGATTTTAATATTTTAAACTCTAGCGGTTTTTGAGATTTAAATTTCACCTGCTTCTTAAAATTCAAATTATTGAGCTTTAAATTTAACGGATTTTAAATAATCAAATTTTTGAACTTTATATAAGGGTCAGACACTCCAACAGAATTGTAAGGATTGTACAATCCTTACAAAACAAAAAATAATGTCCATTAATTTTTAAAAAATAAAATAAAATACGAAAAATGAAGAAAAACAGTCAGAAATTTCTTTAAAAAAAATATTAAAAATGCACAATATATAGGCACACAATAATTTACTGTGAATAAATTCGAATGATTTTTTATACATTTTAAAAAGCTGTAAAAAGTATAATTTTTACACCTGTGACCAGGGTGGGAGATTTAAATCAAAAATCAAAATCTTTTTGCAATGATTTTAAAAGGGGATTTTGATTTAAATCTCTTATATGAAAGATTTTATTGGGATTTTAAAATCTCTCCATGTAAAATTTTTTATCAATTTCTCAAATTATTTTTTAAATCATCAGTTTTCAGTTGCAGTTCCTAATAAGTAAGAATGCAGTTGATCCTTTTTTGGCCAGAATCTTGCAACTGGATCTTTTAGATCCAAGCATTTCTTAAATAATGGTTACAGCAACCAATGGTTCCATGCTGTTTGACTTAAACAAAATCCAATTCGTGATATTTAATCTTCTGTGCCTTGATCTTTACATATAAATAACCAGACTTCATCAAGCATGCCTGGATCTTACTTCATATAAGAATTTACCTGCTTTCAATGCTTTTAAAAACTTTAATATCTTTTATTATAGTACGTTAGTTTAATGAGTCATAAGCAAGAATAGGCAAATGAACTAAAATTTTTTTGCGGAACTGGCCGTTTCCTTTCGTACAGCAATGCACAGAAAATTAAAAATCACGAATTGGATTTCGTTTAAGTCAAACAGCATGGAACCATTGGTTGCTGTAACCATTATTTAAGAAATGCTTGGATCTAAAAGATCCAGTTGCAAGATTCTGGCCAAAAAAGGATCAACTGCATTCTTACTTATTAGGAACTGCAACTGAAAACTGATGATTTAAAAAATAATTTGAGAAATTGATAAAAAATTTTACATGGAGAGATTTTAAAATCCCAATAAAATCTTTCATATAAGAGATTTAAATCAAAATCCCCTTTTAAAATCATTGCAAAAAGATTTTGATTTTTGATTTAAATCACCCTGGTAATAAGTGAAAAAATTGATAAATCAAGCTACTTTCGTTCTTTAAATTGAAACAAATAAATTTGTAATATCAAATTAATATTTCTTCTTTAATAACCTATGAAAAACATTTTTAAACGTTCCATACAATTATTACATCCTTACAATCCTTATATGGAAAGGAGTCCTTTCCTGTAAGGATTGTAAGGATTGTAAGGATTATCGTTACAAGATTATAGGGATTGTAATTCTTACAATCCTTTCCATATAAGGATTGTAAGGATTGCACAATCTTTACAATTTTGTTGGAGTGTCTGACCCTTGCTTTATATGTTTGTAAAATTTAAAACTTTTGGACTTTAAATTTTAGCGGTTTTTGAAGATTCAAAAAATTTAAATTTAAATTCTTTTTTTAAAAATACACGTTTTGAAATCCGTTTTCAACTAGCTCAACGAATATGAAACGACAACATTCAAGTCATGAACTTAGCCAAATTTTCTCATTGAATACAAGAAGGTCGCTAGAAGCCAGCTGATCAGACAGCCAATCGAACAACCTTCATCTACACAGAAGATATATTTTCACGAGAAAATTGCGGCATAGTAAGAAAAACAGTATAGCAACATCAAAAGAAAAAGGAAAGAAAATGAAAAAAGGAATGTTGTTAAATAAATTATTTTTAAAAGGCAAGACTGAGAGGAGAAAATTGAGAGCAAAAGAATAATAATAATACTAGTGAAATTCCCAAGAAAGCAAAAAGAATGTGAATGAATAAATTAACAAGTAGCAAAAAAAAAATTTTTTTTACCTTCAGTCAAGCGATTATTTGATTGAGGCAGTGCTAGCTGTTGTTGTTGTATCGGATGTAAAATGTATGGATTTGTAACAATTCTATATTGTGACGATTTCATATCATCATTCATTAAGTAATTTCCTTCTATATTTATTGTCGTATCAATTTGATTGATATCGGGGACATTTTTTGCAGTTCGCACAGCTTGTATACAACTCTCGCCATTTCCTGCAACAGTTATTTTCAGATGACTCTCACAACCTTGTTGCGCATTAAATGAACTACTGGAATAACTAAGAGTTTGTGGACCTGCTTGAATATCTATTGGCTGTAGCGATGCTGACGGTTGCCTTAATGTTAATTTAACATTTGTATAACTTCGTTGACCTGTTGTGCCTGTACTAGCTGTCGCTCCACCATACTGCATTATATCATTTTTCTGATCAAGTAAATTCGTATATGAAGGCTGTGGCTGAACAGATAAATGAGATGTAAATCTTTGTCTGGCAGGCGGGGGAGGAGGTGCTGGTCTTTTGGTTGATATTGGTGATACCTTTACATTCAATTGAACATTTAAGGAATCATTAATTTTTGATGCAGTCGAATCGAGCACGACATTATGATGTGTTTGTGCCTGTTCAAAAAGCTGGTGATGCTGTGATGTTGTTGAAAAGCTTGAAACGGAAGTTGTGGAATTTGGACTTGATAATGTCGATGATGGGGTTCTTTGATGATTATTTGAATTAAATGTAGGCGGATCAGGCGCTGGACGTAATGGTAATGTTGTGGGACGTTTTAATTTTGAATTACTTGATGTGGATGTAGACGATGATGAGCTGATTGATGTGCTTTCAAACTTTTCAGTCATCTCCTTCATCTTTTGACTACTTCCTGTTTTAAGTCCATTAACTTGACTCCGAAGCGTCTGTTGATTACTTTTATCATTATTACTATGTATTGATTTTGATGGATACATCGTCGGTGTTACGGGCGATGAAGCTGTGACTTTATTAAGCTGTTCAAGACAAGCTCGACGATTGTGACAATTCTCAGTCACTAGTTGTTGCACTATGTGATCTGGTACTTTTGGATATTCCTGTTTCATCTCATGAAATAATTGCATAATGCTTATGTTGGTGCATGAACATGAATTTATACTATTTTTATCTAAATTCTCTTTATTATTATTCTGATCGGTCCGCCGTTGATCAATTGACTTTGACGGCGTTTGATCCATACTCAGCCATCGTTTCTTCTATCCGCACTTCTTTTTTTACGAATGTCGTCAGGGAAATTCCTTTCAATTTTCTTCTTTGCAATAATTTTATTATTTTATATTTTTTCTTGCTTCTTTTTTTTGTCAAAGTTAAAAATAGAAAATTCGCGCGTTTTTCTGTAAAGAAGAAATCAGAGAGAGGAAAAATTAAACTTTTTTCAATGTGATAAACAAATCATCAACGCGCAAATTTACTCATTTTTTGCATTCATGCACAGATATTCAGATATTGACAAATTAACATTTTTTATAGTGAAAGTAGTCGACATCCAGCAGCTATAATTAGGAAGTTAATTTAATGACTAGACATGTCACAATACATCGTTTTCAAATTTATTAACTTTTTACTCGCACTTATCTTCTTGTTCATACTTGAAACTAAAATATGAGAAAATGATGAACTTTAAATTGTCATTGTCATCATCAATAAGAAGGATTTTTGAGAATCACAGACGGAGAGTCAAGTGCACATTTTTAAGGCGGAAGTTATTTGAGGATTATTTTTATTTGCAGTCAATAATGGAATTAAAAGCTTTGTTTTAATAAAATTCTGATTGGATAAAATAGTTTTGATAGCTATTTGCTTATTTTACAAACTTTTTGGGTTTTAAATACTTAATGATTAAGTCAATGACTGAAAATTATATAATTGTTTCTAAGAAACACTACAACAGCATATTATAGTAAAAGAAACCGTACAAATGTTTTAAAAACAGAAACTTGACTTGCAAAATCAAACAAATGTTCTGAATGCTTCAAAACCATACGACTGATTTTTATAACAATAAAAACCGAAATTCATTTCAACAAATATTTTTAAATAAGCAGCAACAAGAAACCAATAAATCAGTATCATTTAGAACATGTTAACACAAATTTAACAAGATTAACCGCACAATCAGTCAATCAAAGTCAATTATGAGGCGTCAAAATGAATTATATTTTAGATAACAAGCTTTATATGTTGAAAGAATAATCTAGTCATAGAAATGAACTCAAATGCGCCTGCATCACAAGCAGTGTTGCAAATGCATATGTCTACACTAGATGAAGAATGTAGATTCTTCCATAGTTTTTGTCTAGCTAAGAAACTTTCTTCATAAAGATCGATTCTATATGAAGATAGAAAATCTAATCTCCACAAAGATTATTTCTACATAAAGATTCGATGTAGATGTCTACAATTCTACATTTTTTCCAGGTCTACATCAGAGAAGATTCGATGTAGATGTCTACAACTCTACATTTTTTCCAGGTCTACATCAGAGAAGAACGTAGAATTGTAGACATCTACATCGAATCTTTATGTAGACAGAATTTTTATGTAGAAATAATCTTTGTGTAGATTAGATTTTCTATCTTCATGTAGAATCGATCTTTATGAAGAAATTTCTGTCTCAGAATTTATCTGATCCAGACAAATAGCCAGAATGCAACACTGATCACAAGAAAAATTGCGACAATAATTCGAAATGTAATTTAATCACATGTTTGAGTATTTTGAACTTGTCTGTTGATAATAATACAACAAATTGAAATATAAAGCTTGGGGAAATATCAATTGATAATAAAATAATAATAAAAAGCCCCTCTCATTCTTATTTTGTACGACGTCAATTTACGTATTCCATTAAGAGAGTATATATATATATACAGGGAAGTTAAATAAACCATTTGATTATTTTTAGGTTTCGCAATGACGTCGTTCGGGATCAGAAAAAAGTAAATTAAATAAAAAGAAGACTTAAAAAAATATAAGTAGACGATGTGAGGGATGGTTTCGCTCGTGTGACAATTTTTCTTTCCTACTCTTAACATGTATTTTTTTTAAATTAAAATAATTTTCATGTGAGAAAAAAAAAACACATTTCAGATCTGATATTAATGTGTAGTACATGTCGATATAATTAAGTGGAGTCTCGGAATCTCCCCCGAACATTTGGATGATATCCCATAAACGCAAAGCACACAGAAGAAACATTATTTTTTGTGTATATAAAACTTTGTCGCCAAAGAAGATAAAAAAAAAACACACAGAATAATAATAATACATGAAATGAGAAAATGCCGAGTGACTAGATTTTCCCAAGGTCATGAAACTTGTGCGAAACGATGTATTTAACAAGCATTTACGTGTTGCTTCCGAAAAAAATGCTCTGCGAAATGAAAATGAGTTTGAGAATCCTAATGCATTATTTATTAGAGCGATTTCAGATGGTCTTATTAATTATTACCTATGCCGAGGAAATGCTTGAAAGAGTTCAAAAGTGCTTGTTTGACGTAATTTCAAAGAAAATTTTGAAATAGACGTTGGACAAGATAAGCTTTTTAATGTATGAATAAAAAATATAAATACTCGGTAGTCTAGTGGTAAGTACAACTCTTTAAAATTAATTTGTTTTCGGCAGTCTAAGTAGTTTAATGTATAGTTACGCAGATATAACAACTTTCACAAAATGTCAGCCAGTCAAAGTGAATATTTAATATGCCATTAAATCGCGCGTGAAAAAATAATTTATTTATTTTCGTATACACACAAATCTACGATGCTGATGATGTTAAATTTTTTTGATTATATGCGACAGGTATATTTGCAGCACTTTTTTTTACGCGCATATATGAAGAAATAATATTTATTCAGCAAAAATTCCCGAACAGAGCAACGAGATTGTTTTAAAAAGCGGAGTGAAATGACTTAACACTTTTATATGATCTTTAATCAGCCTTCTTGATATACAAATACGCAATATTTATTATCATTTAGTCTTCGACTCTACTGTTTTTGTCAATCAAGAGAGAGCTAGCTTTAGACAGATGGACATTGCAGATGTATGTGATGGGTTTGAAGAGAGAAGTTATTGCGAATATAATGTATTTTTAGATCCATTATCGCACCATAATAATAAATAAAGTATTTTTATGTATTCTAAAAATACGCATTCGGAGAAAAGAAGAGAGTAAGGATGGGAATACCTACATGTTATTTTATATTATTTTTAATTTGCTCGCTGGATTTTCTTTTCTTTATTTTATTTCAATTTTAATTTTTTGTGTATATTTCACTGTATTTAAGTGACAATAATAAAAAGAAGTGAGCAAACTTTTTGTCGACGTTTTTTTTTTGCTTTAAGTCAGTCAGGAACACACCGTCACAGTTCTTATCTTATCACCAACCGATCTCACCGAAATTGTAACAATATATAAATGTGTTAATATATACATATAATGTATTTTATTATTTTTATGTTGCTGTAGGTGTGATTTCAGAATTTCACCAGAATCTTAATTAAACTTATTCTTTTCACTTTTGTTTATTTTTAATTATGATGATGTACCCGTATTAAATCCAATTAGGGATTTTTCTTTCTGATCGCTCATATGACATTTATGCGTGGGCGACTTTTGTGGGATGTTTTTGGGAAATTGATAAAATTTTAATGATTTTTTTTTTATATTTTTCTTTCTTCTATTTTTTTCGATTTCTTACTTTATCACTTTATCCAGTCCATAATACTTTTATTTTAATTTTATTATGATTAGGCAACGTCAACACGTTAATTTCACAACATTTGATTATTTAAGGCACTGTTTATAGACGTTTATTTAATTAATTCTTCTATATTTTGTCTCTCGATTCGCAGGGTCCTACCAAGTTTTCAATAGAGGGGCTTTGAACTTCAATATAAATTTAACGAGATTTAAAAATTCAAATAATGTTTTCCAACAATCAGTTAAGCGTAGATTGAATGTTTTGCAACAATCGACCAAATATTAAATCCACGTACATTCGGTATTAATTTAGTTAAAAGAAGTGATTAAGTAGCTAATCCTTAATTAATGAGAATATAGGATCAATAATATCGACATTTAACTAATCGGTTTGCTTGAGAATATTCGGGATAAGTTGTTAAAATGGTGGAATCGCCCGTAAAAGCGAAAAATGTTGTCCCAAAGAAATTTGTTGGAATCTCGAGTTTAATTATATTTTCGGTTCTGCTTGTGTGCTGGATCGCCGGTTTTGCATCCAGATTGTTCGCTGTTATCAGATTTGAGAGTATCATCCATGAATTTGATCCATGGTATGTTATTAAGTGAATTAAATTAAATTAATTATGCCACGAATGAAATTTTCACAACATTAATAACATATATATAGGTTCAATTATCGAGCTACAGCATATATGGTTCAGCATGGATTCTACCAATTCCTTAATTGGTTCGATGAACGTGCTTGGTATCCATTAGGTAAGTTTACAGTCAATTTTTACATGATCCAGTTAAAACTTTTATGATGTTTTAGGTCGAATTGTTGGTGGAACTGTTTATCCAGGCTTGATGATAACATCCGGTGGAATCCACTGGTTCCTTCATCTTCTTAATATTCCAGTACACATTCGTGATATTTGCGTATTTTTAGCACCAATTTTCAGTGGTCTCACAGCAATTTCAACTTATCTTCTTACCAAAGAACTTTGGAGTCCTGGTGCTGGGTTATTTGCTGCAAGTTTCATTGCAATTGTTCCCGGCTACATTTCACGTTCAGTCGCTGGATCATATGACAATGAAGGAATTGCCATTTTCGCTCTCCAATTCACATATTATTTGTGGGTAAAGTCCGTTAAAACTGGATCAATCTTCTGGGCTGCATCTGCTGCTCTCTCATACTTTTATATGGTCTCAGGTATGTAATTATGCAATTTGTACCATTCATGACCAGTTCTCTAATTCATATTAATTTGAATTTATTTACAGCATGGGGAGGGTAAGTTGCATGACATGACTAAGGCTAGTACTTACATTAAGACAAATTCCTATATTTACAGATACGTATTCATCATCAATCTTATTCCATTACATGTTTTCGTTCTTCTAATAATGAATCGCTATTCTCATCGTCTTTTTACGAGTTATACGACATTCTACATCCTCGGACTTATCTTTTCCATGCAAATTCCATTCGTTGGCTTCCAACCGATTAGAACAAGTGAACATATGGCTGCATCTGGCGTTTTTGTACTTCTTATTGCTGTAGCTTTATTGAAACATCTCCAAACAATATTAACGAAACAAGAATTTAAGAAATTATTCATTCTCGGTGCTCTTGCTGCTGCCGGTCTTGTATTTTTAACAGTCGTTGGACTTACAATGGCTGGATTTATTGCTCCTTGGTCAGGACGTTTCTACTCATTGTGGGATACAGGATATGCTAAAATTCACATTCCAATTATTGCATCAGTTTCTGAGCATCAACCAACAACTTGGTTCTCATTCTTCTTTGATTTACACATTCTTGTCTGTACCTTCCCTGTTGGTTTATGGTACACAATTAAGAAAATTAATGATGAACGTGTCTTTGTAGTATTATATGCAATTTCTGCTGTTTATTTTGCTGGCGTTATGGTCCGTTTAATGCTTACATTGACACCAGTTGTTTGCATTCTTGCTGGAGTTGCATTTTCATGTTTACTTGAAGTATTCCTTAAAGAGGATCAACCAGCAACAGCACAAAAGGAAGAAGTTGAGACAGAAGAGCCAGAAAAAGAAAAGAAACTTTATGATAAGGCTGGAAAGATTAAGCCCCGAAAGCACGAAAGTGCCAAGACTGAGAACAAAGGTCTTGGATCCAATATTAAATCGATGGTTGTTATCGCAATTTTAATGCTATTAATGATGTTCGCTGTTCATTGCACGTGGGTCACAAGTAATGCTTACTCATCACCATCAATTGTTTTGGCATTTTATAATCAAGGCGATGGAACAAGAAATATTCTCGATGATTTCCGTGAAGCTTATTATTGGCTGTCACAAAATACAGCAGATGATGCTCGTGTTATGAGTTGGTGGGATTATGGTTATCAGATAGCGGGAATGGCGAATCGGACAACGCTAGTGGATAATAATACGTGGAATAATAGTCATATAGCACTGGTTGGTAAAGCAATGTCATCGACAGAGGATAAAGCTTATGATATAATGACATCACTTGACGTCGATTATGTTCTCGTTATTTTCGGTGGTGTTATTGGATACTCGGGTGATGATATCAATAAATTCTTATGGATGGTGAGAATTGCAGAAGGAGAACATCCAAAAGATATTCGCGAGAGTGATTATTTCACTGAACGTGGTGAATTTAGAGTAGATTCCGAAGGTGCACCAGCACTACTCAATTGTTTAATGTATAAATTAAGCTATTATCGTTTTGGCGAATTAAAACTTGATTATAGGTGAGTACTGTGTCTGTTTTGCATTGAATATTAATTAACTGGATGTCAGATTGAAGGGTTGTAATGTAAAAGTGATAAAGAACATGATAACAAAGTATGCACATGATTTAGTTGACAGTTGTAGCTTATAGTCAATACATTTCATGCGGGTGTCAATTATTTGTCGTGTAATGTCAATTGTGTATTATATTGCAAAGATAAGCTTGTTTTTGGATTCTTAATTGATTTTTAAGCACCTTTTCCAAACCGTTGAATTTTAAGTGCTTTATTTTCGTCAAAAATTCAAATTTTTAAAAACCTCAACGAATTAAAAATTCAAAATTTTGAATTCCTGAAATCCTTTAATATTTAAAATCCAAAATTCTGTTAAAATCTACTTTGTCAACAATAACGTTAATAAATACTTTATAAAAAAAACTTTTTAAAAAACCACGTTTCAACCCGTGGACTGAAAAGTAGAAAATAACTTTTTTATTGGGTTCAAAGAATATTGGTTTGAAAATTTGAGATTGATTTGAAAGTTTCATACTAAAGTCATGACCATACATGAATTGCAAATTTATTCACTTCGACCATATCGTATAGTTCTACATCTTTAAAAATGGGCGCATTCATTAATACAAGTATATTTTCTTTTTGAAATTTAAAATTATTGAAAGTTGTGCATATGTTATGTAAAAATAAGCTAAGCCTTAAAGAGTAGACTACAATTAAGCATTTTTGAGTTTCCGAAATCCTTGAATATTGTATTGTCATCGGAAAGATAAGTGTATGCAAAATTTCAAATCAAACTGATAAGGGGCCGTTCACTTATTACGTTACGCAAAAAACGACTTTTTTCACCCCCTCCCCCCCTTGTTACAATATGTTACAACTCACAACCCCCCCCCCCCCCCCCCCTGAACGTTCATAATTTATTTTATCATTAAAAAGGTGTAAACAAATTTTTTTCGTGAACTTTTTTTTAAAAGACAGACGACGGTTAGAACGTTCCATACTTCTTGACAACCCCTCCCCCTATGTTACATTTTGTTACAATTGTTCAACCCCCCCCCCCCCCCCCCCCCCCTCCTCCCTAAAATGCGAACGTAATAAGTGAACGGCTCCTAAGAAAGCAAGTTAAGAAAAACGTGGTAAAATCTAGTAAACCACGTGTTCCAGTTTTTTTATCGCTTTTTGTCGGCTTATTATGTATTATACTCTCTCTTAAAAGAACACGTCATACTTTAAATTAAAAATTATTATAGCTTACCATTATCCGTACTAATGATTGTTATTACATGTTTCAGTTCCAATGTTTATAATTCTTTGGTTCTGAAATACGATTTTATCTGTTTTTGTGATAGATTTTAAATAATTTTAAATCGAGCTTACTGAGATAGAAAAATATTACGTTTGAACCAACGAAATTTAATTAATGAACACAGAATGATCTTTAAAGAAACTCACAAAAAGCTTCCAAATCTACCAATATTCTTAATTTTTCTTTTACCAGAGGACCTGCCGGCTTTGATCGTACTAGAAATGCCGTAATTGGAAATAAAGACTTTGATTTAACTTACCTAGAAGAAGCTTATACGAGTGAGCATTGGCTCGTACGTATTTATCGTGTTAAAAAGCCAGATGAATTTAATCGTCCATCACTAAAGCCAACAAAACGTGCGCTTAGTGACTATGCAACAAAGAAAGTAAGTATCATGTTGATATATTGGAATAAATCTTTATGGAATTAATCTTAATGCCTTATCTTGTACATTTAGGTATCAAAACGAAGGAAAGGCGTCATTAAGAATCGACCAGTTGTGGTGAAAGGAAAGCGGTCGACAAAAGCTAATTAGATTAGACACAAATGTATCACATCAAACAGACTTTTTTGCTCCTTATTTTTCGTTTCATCTTCTGCCAAAAAAGCCAATCAATAAACAAAAAAACAATGTAGACTTTCGTGGGGATTTTCATTATTTTATTGGGGGTTGAACGTAATATCTAGGATAAAAGTCAAGTAATTCCTCCTACAAAAAACAACGCCAAAAGAGAGAAATAAGTAAAGATGTCATCACTCGTGGTTGACTTGAGCGCATTTTTCAAATAAATGTTAATAACGGTCGAAAAATATTTTAAAATTAACGATAAAAAATATTAAAAATAGCCGTTATCTAACGGTTTTAAAACAAAGACCTAACCAAGAATTGAACAACAGACAACTTGTGGATTATAAAATACGTTCCCTTTAGGGGCCGTTCACTTTTTTCACCACCCCCTTCCCCTCTTGTTACAATATGTTACAACTCACAACCCGCCCCTTCCCCCTGAACCCTGAACGTTCATAATTTATTTTATTTTGATAAAAAGGTGGAAAATTTTGTGAACTTTTTAGAACGTTACATATTTCTTGACACCCCCCCCCCCCCCCATGTTACATTTTGTTACAATTTTTCAAGCCCCTAAAATGCGACCGTAATAAGTGAACGGCCCCTTAGACAAATGTGCAGGAAAAGCATGAAAATCTTAACAACAAATAAGAAATGAAGATATAAAATATATCGTGGGGCCTTAAATTCATCAACGAGGGTTAAAAATCATTTTTTACTTTCTGTCTTGCAACAAACAAAACAAAAATCTTTTTGGGAGGAATAAGGAATGAGCGATAAGCGTAAATGCAAACAACACTTGAAGTGTTGATCGATAAAATAAAATAAAATAAAAAAAGTGAAGGAAAACAAGCAAGCGAAAAGAAAAACAAATAAAAAGCGTTTCCAACAAAAAAAAAAAAAAAATTGAAGAAGTGAAAGAAAAATATTGAAATTCCATTAAATTAAAGTGAAGAAGCGCGTCCGGCAGTTCTGAAATGAAAACACAAAAATTTCATGAATTTATTAATTTTTCTTTGTTTGTTTGTTGTCTCTCATCATTGAAAATTCAGCTCCGCACACCACACACATACTTTTATATCCTTAAAATAACTATTTTGTGTGAGTCTGCACAAATTTTTTAAAAATTGCAAAGTTAATTTATGGAAAATGTGAAAAGAGGGAGGAAAATTTAGTTGCAATATCAATAAATTCAATCAACCAACAAAACACACCATACACCACATGATGTCCCATAAGAGAACTGAAAAAAATTATTAAATAAAATTATAAAACTATTATTAAATAAAAAATTAATAAATAGCGTTGTAGATTTTTTGATCGAAATTTCTTCGACTAATTCCTTACTTTAAGATTCTTGCCGTTTCATTTGATTTTAGTATGTACTTAAATATGCACGATTTACTCTTTAAGACGAACCTACATTACTGATAGGATCAACCAGAACTATTGACTGACTTTAATTTGCATTTACTGATGTGATTTGTCATCATTTAATCGAGGCATGTGAATCATTTGAAAGGTCAAAATGGAAAGAGTAATTAAATGCCTTTTTTATCAGTCATTAAGTCAAATGAAAGTTTCATTTCCATTTCATTTTTCTTCTTTTTATATTTTTTCTTTTATTCATTAGTTTCTATTATTCTTGAAAAAGACTCCACTTTTGGAAATAATCAATGTCTTGTCCTGATTTAATGCCTATAAAGATATTTTTGGTTTTCTGATTTCTGGAGATTTTTAAACTGTTTGTAGAAAATCTAACCTCCCAACAATATAAAATATTCTAAAATTTTTCATAAACATTCACTTAGCTTCTCATTTTCAGCACAACAATTGAAAGACTCAAATCTATGGCTACAGGCATCAAAATTCATCCTTGAAATTAATTACAAAAAGTCAACAAGATTTTCTCCTGAAATGAAATTCATTAATTAGTCATTATCGCAATGCATGATAGAAACAGTACAGGCTGTACAGAATTAATGCCATATCGTTTCAAATTTCAAAGGAAGTTCTTCATAAGGCATTTAATTATCCAAAAAAGTCAATTATTCCCTTTGGGAGCCATTTACATTTCATCTCGTCCTATTCCCATAGAAATATTCAATTTTGATGATTTATGGCAAACCTTTGTGTGCATTGAACAATTAAAGAAGTGCAGCATATTCAACAATTACTGCTGTTTCATTCATTTCCAATAATTTTTTATTAATTTTTAAATTTATTACCGAATTGCGAGTTCATTAAAACAGATTAATTAATTTTTAAAACATTTTTGGGGAACTTTGAGTAGTGTGGGTAGTTGAGGCTATGAATAATTAATTAATTATGCATCTCATGATGATAATAATGAAATTATGTGAATTAAAATAAAATGTCAAATGGCAATGAGCATCAATCAATCTAAAATAATAATTAATTTAAAATAAATGAAATCCAATAGCTATCTTGTCCTCATATTTGTACAGCCAGCAGAAGCAGCAGCTAGTAGCTGAATAATCAATAGATTCATGATTTTATGATAACAAATGTGCCATAAATTCTCCTTCCTTTATTTATCGTCCTTTATAAGGTCTTTCTCCTTTCTTTCCATCCATGGATATATTTGGATATCGACTATAGAATATAGAGTCTATATCTATGCATCTTTAGCCATATGAATGAGCATAAATAATTGTAAGGAGAATGAAAAATTATTGGAAAATGAATCGATCCGATCGAGATTCATTTGTGCAAAGAAGTAAGCAGAGCAGAGTGAAAGGCACCAAAGCATTAAGGCAACAATAGCTAACATGCTGTATGGCTAATAATTCGAAAAAGATTCCTTTGCCATTTTTCTTCCTTATTCATTTCTATTATTTACAATTTTCGGACTTTTTCTTCTCATTTTGAACATGAAATATTGAAAAAGGCACCGCACATGAATATGAACTGAAAATTTACTAGGATTTAGTGGGATTAGAGATGTAAATTGGTTGAATTTATTTAAAGGATTGAACATGACTATACGAAGCACTTACAATGGACGCTTCCAGCACAAGTTTCCCGCTTTTAATTAATGTTTATAATTTTCGGTAATTGTAGACCGAAACAAGATTCTTTTCCCACGAAATTAGAAAATTTTCTTCCTCATTACAAGATAAAGTTTCAAGCAAGCTGAATTTTAATGGAATTCTCTGGAGTTTCTTGATTCTTTTTTTTTTTATGAACAACAGCAACGAAATAATAACAAAAGTTCTGTGAAGTAGAAAGTCTGAAGAAGGATAAATTGGTCGAGAGATGAAAATAATGTAATTAAAGAATAAAGAAGGAACTGGGATGGAATGGGAGGAAGCAGTTCATCAGCGTAACAATAACGAAAAACTTTTGCCACCACAAAAGAACATCAATTATTTACCTAAAATTGAGCATAGTAAGTTGAAGAAGTACGTAAAAGTCAGCAAAAGGATAAGAATGGAATCTTTCCGTCCCGAGCAGGACAACATTGTCAATAGGTTGTTGTGATATCCTCGTATATTAGATGAACAGATAAGAGTGATCTGAATTCAGATGGATCGGAAACCAGCAAACCAAACAGACAGAAGTGGAATGCATAGGCCGTAATTTGATTCTTGAGGACACCTTGGTTGAGCTTTAAGATGGCTTTAATATAGAAAATGGAAATTCAGTTATTGCATGACCTAAATCACACGTGTTGAATCAAAAATTCACTTCAGATTACCTAAAACAGGCGAAGCATTTAATTGACATAAATGCAAATAAACAAACACAGTGTAAAGACCTTAAAAGTGAGCATTTCAATTTATGTCATTTTAAAATAATGCCTCAATATTAAATGTCCAAAAAAAGAGATTTTCGCAATGTGTCTTTCGGGCTTGTTGCCATAAAGTATCAGTAGTAATTATTTATAAGGCAAAAAAAGGAAATTGCTGCCAGCTTTCCATTAATTAGATTACTGAATTTGAGAAAAGCCAACCAATAATAATTTACATTTTGTGTCGCTTGCCTTTTTTTCATTCCTTTCCTCATTCCACATTGACTTGCTTATCCTTCATCTCATTACATAAAACTTTCTACTCTTCTCTCATCCTTGACAATGCCTGTCAAAATGACGAGGAAAAAGTTCCTCAAAACTTTTCTTACGACACATTTTTTTCGTACCCGTAATTATGGACATTTTTAATAATGCTTAATGCCATCATCATTTTATATTCTTTGAGGTTTTAACTTTTCTTCTGACTTAGTCGTGAGAAATTTGTTTTTAATTGCATCTTGATGGACGTATTGTCTTTGTGAGAACCATGCAGCAGTCATGGAAATTGTAAGGTTAATTTTTATTCCAGGTTAAATGATTATATGCTTTAAGATCATTTAGTCCGAAGATTAGAAATATAGAAGTTGTAGTACCAAAAAAAAAGACTTTGTGAGTAAATGATCCCTTACTCAAAACCTTGCCAGTTAAGAACTTAAATTTACATTCTGCAACATTGGAAAAATATCTAAAACTTAAGAATTAAAGCTTCAAAAACAAAAAGTCCAGGATAAAATCGAAACAAATAAATTTGAGATATTAAGGTTCAATTCCTGGTTTTGTAATGTAATATTCAAATGATTTGTTTATCGTAACTGCGTTTTTTTAATTGTTTTAAAACGATTCGTCCTGTTCTGAATCATCCACTGCTGACCAATTGAAGCCTAGGACAGCTTTCCTTAGTATGTGTGAAACATAAATATTATTATTATTATTATTATAGATTCCCTCATAAATTGCATCAAAAAATTTGTCAAAAATTCAAACAAGAATCAAGTTTCATAAAGAAAAACTTCAGACGACATTATTCAATCCTGATTATAGGACAGAACATATGAATTCTGGAATATCCAATTGTCTTTCTCCTCCAATTCATCCATTATTTTCATCTTTATGAATATCTTGTTCTAAAGCATTAATTTTCATTTCTAGCCATGAACATTTAACTTTTTCTCATTTCTCTCATTCCAAATTTTTATGCTGCCACTGATGTTTTACTGCTGCATGGATTATGTTTTCATTGTGGCAGTAGCGGAAGAAGATACAGAGAAGATATTGGATATCATGAAAAATGAGTTTATCGAGAGCAGTGGACTTTTATCATTTGTTGTAATTATGTTCTTTACTTGCTTCCTCAATATCGATTTGCACTGTTGTTACTCTTAAATTATATACGGTAAAATGAAAATAAACAATAGCGGCTTAAAAGGAAACAGCAGCAAGCAAGCAGAAGTAGCAGATGCAAAGATAATAAAACTTTCCAAATGAAATATATCGAAAAAGTTTGCAGTATCAAGCATTCGTGCAAAAACTTCCGATTTTCTTTTTCCTGCTTTTTCTTTCTTTTCCTGAATTGAAAATTTCGTTATGAAATGGGTAAATAGGAATATTCTGGCTGTTCTACCTTTCGACTATGCTGC